TCAATACAACCCGCAACATCTAATAATATAGTAGTGGAGATTTAATTTTATAATAACAATAAATTCTCTTTATTTCTCATATCCTTATAAGTTTCAATATGTATTAACCAAGTTGTGGTTAGTACTAGGGATTTTATTATCTATGTTAGTTTATTAGGTAGAATTTTGCATGTGAGCTCCCATATTGTGTATAGGTCTCCTCCATTTGGTTCCATTTTTGCTGTTTACATCCAATTACTAGCTATTTTTTATTATTTCATCGGTCCATCTTTGTTCTAGTCTGCCATTTCCATCTGATTCCAAACATTTCGTTGATAGAATAGTCCGTCTTTGGTTTATATATTGGGAAACATGGCCAGCCCACTTCGGTCTCAGTTTTAATGCATTTTGTACAGCATCTGTTAATTTTGTACTTTGTCTTACTTCAGTACTTCTTGGTTTTTATTTTTCTTAGTTTATGAATTCTCCTTTCTATGGTTCTTTGACACGTATTTATTTTATGTTTTATATATTTTGTGTATATGTATCCATGTTTGGTATCCATATGCGATGCAACGTAGAATACATTTATGTATATTACAATTTTTATACCTTCTTTACATACTGGTGGAAATTTCCATCATAACATTTAATGCCTAAAACTTACATAAAAGACCAAGTTCACTTTAAGTTGATTGTGTCTGATTAATTTTTTAATGTCCATTGCAGAAAAAAAAACATAGTTGCCAAATTTATTGTTTTAACCATTTTTCCTTTAATTTTAAACATGAATTATATCACTTTGATTATATGACTTTGATTTCATCAATAAAAAAATTAATGCAAAGAAGGGTTAAATTTTATATTGTAACCTCTTTGTGTGTCCATAATATTGTAGTTTTATATAAATTTACGAGTATTTCTTCTTCGTTATCGTTTTTATTTAATGTAACTTGTTGCCTCAGATGTATATAGTTGTTAACACTTACTATTTTCGTTTTAGCCAAACTGTCACAGAATTCACCTATATGCATGCAAAATTGTTGTCTTAATACAGTGGAATCCGTTTATAATGACATCGGAGGGAAATAACCAACACGCCATTTTGTAAAAAATAAATTATCTCCTATTTTTGTAGTGTATGTTTATTTTAATTAAGAGAAACAAAATAGAGATAAATAAGAAATTATACATAATAAGTACATATGTATTTATAATCTTTCAATATTTACATTAGAAATCTGTAATGCTTGTTTGCTTTTATTTTTCTTCCTTGTATTGTAATAACAGTCTTTTATTGTTTTTGAAAATCATTAAGATTGTCGAATGACCAACCCCAAATTTTTTGCGAGAGATTTTTTTTTTATTTAACTTAGCTATGATAAATAAGCTGACGGCCCACCTGATGGGAAGTGGTAACCGTCGCCTATAATACATAAGCAGTACCATGGACATAACAGAGTATACTGTTTCGCCCATACTGAATACTGATACTCCCAATGCGTTGCCATTCCTGAGGACTCAGGTGTTATTCCTCTGTACCCTGTAAATTCACGCCATATCTCACCCTTCAAACCGAAATACAGCCATGCAAATACAACTGCTTCACAGTTGAAACACGAATGAGAAAGAGGTACACAAGCAAACGATTTTTTTACAAAGTTTCCCTCTGTGACTATTATTGTACCTTTCTTTTTATTATTGTACCTTTTTTTTAATCGTAAAGGCCGTATAGTTATTAAAATTTCGGCTAGTTACCCATCGCTACTGAGACTTAAAAAAAAACCATGCACACACTGCCGAAGATATTAGGAATCATGTTGGTCACTATAACTGGACGCAATTTATTAAAAATGAGTCTCAACAAGCGACATGTTACTATTAGCGAGGTCATTATATTCTACTTAGTTATAAAGAATTTTAAATGAAAAACTTCGCTATGTAATTAATCATATAATAAGCGGTTGGTCATTATAGGCGGAGTCATAATAAATGGATTCCACTGTATAATAATAATAGTTTAATAATTTATAAAGTCTTATACATGATTGAAATAGAATAAGACTCATCTCATTGCACGCAGTAATTTCACTGTCATATCTTCCCCTTCAAATTTAACCACAGTCTATAAGCAAGCGCTAGAATACAGGCTAATTTTTAGATAACAGCTGGTCTACTATAAAATGAAATTCTGAAATTTCGGACTCAATTTCGTGTTTTTGTTTATACCAAAATCAGACCAATAAATGGAGTTTAACATTTCGTTCGTCATACATACTACCATAAAAGTCCAAAGGAACGATATTTTAACATTTTTAATATTTCCAAACGGCATGTATTATATAATTTTAACATCAAATTTGTGTTTCGTTTGGCTCCGAAATTTAGGAAAACATTTCATGGTAGGCCCTCAGTATTTAGTGTAAACTTTTCTCCTTGCAAGCAAATGTATATTGGTTAGTAAATTTCCTAATCTTGTATTTACAGTCATGAATCAATATCATTAAATCATAGATAGAGCACAATCTACAGCTCTTTGAAATGTACTGATTTAATTATGATAGAATACTTAAATATGTATATACAGTATCGCTCAAAAGTATTTGACCATCTAGTAAAATACATTCTGTAAAAGTCTGCTTGAGTGAAATTACTTCATAATTATTTTAACATGTATATTAGCCATATTTCGACTAAGGAAAAAAATATTAGTTTTAAATTTTGGACTTATCTATGTGTCCATCTTTATTTTTAATGTCAGTCTCACAAAGCTTTGGCAACCTAGCTACAAATTTCTCCAATGTTTTTTTGGTTATCTTCTGCTTTTCTTCATGCAGTTTTTTTCACAAGTTTTCCTGAGATGTGGGACGTTTTCGTACCTGTCTATTCAGCTTATCCCACAATAGTTATTATGGGGTGAGTTAGGGAACTGTGAAGGTCATAATTATGAGTTTCAACACCTGTTTTTGTTCTTTTCCTTTTAAAAAGTCTTTGCATAGTCTTGACGTGTTTCGTATCATTATTCTGTTGAAATATGAATCCCAGATCGATTAAATGAGTTTCACAAGACATTGCAGTATTTTCCAATATCTTTTTGTAACTTTTTTTCAAGACTCCCTTGTATTCTCACAAGATTTCCAACGACGGAGCCAGCAAAATAGCCCCAAACCATCACATACCCTCCGCTTTGTTTAACTGAAGTCACAGTACAAGCGTCATTCATCCTTTCGTTTGACTGCCGTCTTACGAAAACTCTTCGTTTGATTCCAAAAATTGCAAATTTTGATTCGTCCGTCCAGATTGTCCAATTCTTGTGTTCTCTCACCCAATTGAGTCTCTTATTTTTGTTAATAGGTTTCAGAAGTGGTCTTCAAACCGCTACGTATTCCTTGAGTACTGTGTCACAAAGTTCTCTTTTAACTGTGGATACACTAACTGGTTTATCACGATCTCCATTAAACTGTGCTGCTATTTCCGGTGCAGTTAATCGTGTATTTCGTTTGCTATTAATAACCGCAGCCTATTATGTAACAATTCAGCCACAAACTTCTTAACGATGTAGTCAACAATTTGTCTTGGTATTTTCTGTAGTCTTGAAATTTCACGATTACTTTTACCAAATTTATGAAGGCCGATTATTATGCCCCTGTTTTCTTGAGAATATTCCTTAGTTTTACCCATTTTCTTTAAAAAATAAAACTCAAGTGAAAAACAAAAAATGTTCGTAGATTTTATGTACTGAGCTGTGGAGAGCGTGTTTTCTGGTCAAATGACATCAGATAACTAATGTAAAAAGATTTGTAGTAGTTACTTTATATTTTACTTGTGTTTATTGCTCACTAACTAAATCAAAACTAAATTGCGTGTTCAAAGATTAACTTCGAACCCGACAATAACACTATTATGGTTTTATGACCAGAAGTGGGCAAATAACAATAAATTGTTTACTATTGTACAGTAGATAAGTATTTTGCGGTGTTATACAAACAATGAAACTCAACAAATGATCTCTTTAGAATGTATTGTTTGTAACTTAAAGAAAACGCAGGTGGCCAAATATTTTTGAGTGGTAGTGTATATACTGTAATAAAAAAAAAAATTATATATTAGGGTCGTTTCTGAGGCGCCATATCACTAAACCGATTTCTAAAATTAAAATTACAATTTGAAATCACAGTGAATTTTTTATTCGAAGCAACTGATTTTCTAATAGATTTAAATAAAAAATATCATAAGTTTATTTTATGATGATCCATAAAACAGTAATTTTGGAAAACTATCGAATAATAATATTATTAGGTTAAAAGGAATTTAGAAAAATGCCACTTTGGAATCGATACTATTGTTATCTAAATTTTCTTGTTTTTTTAAATGTGATATTTAATATGTTATGCTAATGTTTGTTGGCACTTAAACTTTCTAATCATGAAATTATTGTTTATTTATTTATTTACAAGAAACAAACAGTGTTGCCATCTTCTTCTTAAATATACAATTATGTACAAAAACTTGTATATAATTGTATATTTAAATTTTTACTTTCTTAAATTATTATCTTGATCCTGATAGGTTTCACTCGTAGGTAAAGGTTAGGTTCTATTTGTATCTCTGAGTAGTCAGGAATGCATTTCTTCAATCCTTTATTACTATACCTACTGCACCTAGGTTTTTGTGGAAGTTGGATGGATGAATAGTGTTTATCAAACAGTCTAATGGTAAATTAATAAAAAAAAAATGCTGTGTAAAGTATTTAAAAGTAGGTTAAATTAATTTACATATATTAAATCAACTTTTAAACTTTCGGGTTACATGATTTTTGATTTATAAGACATAGGAATTAATGCTAGCATTTATGTAAACCTGGGCTATAGGTACGTTGAGATAACTCAGGTAAATTATAGTTTACTTAATTGATAGCGTATATTTTCGTTTCCTATAAACCATATATGAAATCATTGATATATTAAAAATATAATTATACGACAGTAGCTAAACTTGCTTCATGTTGGTATATGTTTCAGATCCTCCTGGATCGACCAACGTAGGCACGATAGCGACGAGCCGCGTGGACTCGCCGCCGCCTGCCGTCTCGCAGCGCTCCGGGGCTGCGTCCCCGCGGCGCAAGGAGCGGCCCAAGGACAAGTCCTACTGCAAGCTGATGGCCGAGCGCGCCGCGCGCCCTGACGACAAGTTCGGCAATCGCTCGCCTAACTCGCAGGCGCAGGGCGAGGACTCCGGCATCGAGTCTATGGACGCGCTGTCGGAGAAGTCGCCCAACCAGGCCAGCCAGTCACCGCCGGGCCCGCAGAGAAAGGAACGACTAGATATGCCTCGATCGACTAGTCCCACGTCAGTCCAGAGGATAATAGGTGTGATCGACCCCCCGCCGCCGTCTGACGAGCTGTTGGAGCGGCTGTCGCTGGCGACGGGGCAACCACACTACGATCCCGGTCCGCCGGACATCGACGACCTCGGGGACATCGAGGCCGCACTCGCCAAGATGCACGCCGACCACATCAACGGGGATGACGCGCCGCGCCGTCCCCCGGACGACTCGCACACCAAAGAGGGCACCAGGGAACCGACGCCCATTCTTAGGGATGACGAGAAACAGGGTCAGGCCGTCGACGGGAGCGAGGGCGGCGCACCCGCAAAGAGAAACGACTCCGAGACCGACGTCGCCCTGGCGGACCGGAAGGACTCCGCATCTCCAAAGAAAGAGGACTTTGACCCGCTACCGAGCAGGGTGTCGCCACCACTCTACACGTATTCAAATCAGGAGAAGGTCTGCGCCGACGCGCCCGATGTCAAGGACGAGAAGCCGCCGATCGCTGCTGCGAACGGCGAGACCGACGAGCGCCGCGTTACCGACGAGAAGCCCGAGCCGAAGATCAAGCGGCTCCCGCTCAAGGCCGACTTTCCTGACAAGAGCCTACTCGAGCAGCTGCTGATCGAGATCCCGCCGCAGGAGTACGCGGGGCGGCGGCCCGAGTCGCCGTCGCCGTCGGCACTGGAGCGCGTCGCGCGCAGCAGCGTGCGCACGCGCTCCAGCAGCAAGATGAACAGCCCCGCCGACGGCCCGCGCACGCCGCGGCTCAGCCCCGGCCTGGCCAAGCTCGAGCGCGCCGACTCGCCCGCGCTGCAGCGCAACTGCCTGCGCGGCGGCTCCGTCGACAAGACCAGCCCGCGGGCCGCCGCCGCGCCCGCGCCCGCGCCTCAGTCCACATCTGCGTCCGCGCCCGCCGCGCCCGCCCCGAAGCTCGTGCCGAAGCGGAAGCGGCGCGAGTCGGAGGGCTTCGGCGGCGAGGAGGGGCTCGCGGGGGCCGGCAAGCAGCGCAAAAAACCGCGGCGCGTCGACGGGCAGCGGCCGCCCACCGCGCCCGGCGCCGCCGGCAAGCAAAAGAAGGACTCGGACAGCGACAGCGACGAGCCGCTCATCTGCAAGGTGCGTGGCAAGGGCGGCAAAGGGGCGCGGCCTGCGAAGCTGCCCGCCAAGGGGCCCGAGGGCGTGGGCACGCGCCGCTCGGTGCGCCACGGGCCGGCGCCGGGCGCGCCGCCCGCCGCGCCGGCGCCCTGCCCCGCGCCCGCCGCCGCCGCGCCGCCCGCGCAGCCCGCGCCGCCTGCGCCGCCCACTAACACGCCCGTCAGACGGAAAACGAGGAGTGCCGGTGAGTTATAATTGTTTTTTTTCTTGTTCTCGAGCCAATTTTACTATACAAAAAGTTATAATATGTACTTTCAAATTAATTTTAATTGGAGGGTAATCATTAAAATGAGAAGTTTGCTCATTTTAATCATTGGCACCGTTGATTTTATGGCAATAATTTTAATTAATCTTTGTCCGCGTTTGTCAACCGAGTCAACTGCGCTTGTCTAAAACCGTATCAATATCAAGTTCGTATCCGTATCAATATTATATGGAATACTGCTCTCACCTCTGGGCAGGAACGCCACAGTACCAGCTCCTTCCGTTAGACCGCATTCAAAGTCGGGCGGCTCGAATTATTGATAATCAGCGCCTTACTGTCCGACTTGATCCACTGAAACTGCGCAGAGATGTTGCATATCTGTGCACCGAATTTATTATGGGAATTGCTCTGAGAAATTGTTCGAATTGATACCTGCTGCTGATTTTCACCACCGTTCAACCCGTCATAAACTAAAGTTTCATCCCAACCATCTGGACGAGTGGCGGTCTTCCACCGAGCGTTTTTTAAAGCAATTTCTTCCACGCACAACCACTCTTCGGAATCAACTTCCAGCAGCAGTATTTCCGAATCGTAACCTTCAAGAAAAGAGCATATACCTTTTTAAAAGGCCGGCAGCACACTTGCAATGCCGTTGGTGTTGTGGGTGATCATGGGCGGCGGTAGTCATTTACCATCAGGTGAGCCGCATGCTCGTTTGCCCCCTGTGTTGTAAAAAATAAAAAAAAATATTAAATATTAATAAATTTTAATATTTTAAATCACCAACAAGGAGTTTATCATTTTCAAGAAAAGGCGTAGGAACAAACTCCTACATCTTTATGGACCTTGGAAGCCAGTCAGTTAAATGTTTTTTCTCAAACATGCTTGGAAATGTGAGCATTATTTTGACAATCTTCTTAGAGATAAATCAAAATTACCGTACTGGGCAGATACAAGCGGGCAGCGGCCGGCAAAAGTTGTATGAAAAGCCATATCTGTTGTGTTTTGCGGCCAGATAAATTACTATGTAAACTCATATCTGTCCTGTAATTTAAAAATGGAATAACCTTTTACTTCGAAACATGGCTACCAAGGAGATAACTAATACAAGGTTTTATTTAAATTTTGAACTGGCTTGCAAATAGAAAGCTGTTTATTGAAAAAAAAACAAAGGAACATTATGACGCGTGAAAAATTATTATTGTTCTTTATTAGTCATTGAACTTAAAAAGTAAAATTGTGATTTTTGATTTCCGCGCATTGTTCGAGAAAAGTACTATACAAGCCTTGGCCACAACTAGGCATTGATGGACGAACGTGCAAATGTGGGCCGAGGCGTAGCCGAGGCACACATACGTGAGTCGTCAGTTGCTGGCCGCTGCAGTAATGTACTATATGTATCTCCTATGCAATAGTGAATCGGTTTGACTAGTCTCCCACAAGCGAATCTCACCAGTCGAATTGAGAAGGCATATATATTGTACTAAGGTTGCTGGAACACTGACTGAAAATCAGCAATACAAGTATCAAGAAGCTATTAAGCATTTCATGAGATTTATCAAGTCCTATCAAGTATCAAGATTTATCAATAATTTTTATTTAACAGAAGACTTATGTAAAAATTGATTCCACAATGAAAAATGTTTTAATTAATCAGCAACAAATAATTGAAGCTGTCTACCAACTTTATAATAATTTAAAAAAAGGCAGCCAATACAAGAAGTCTTCGGATTACATTGATTGTAACATAAAAATTTTGGATAATAACTGGCATGAATTTTATAACGATCATATACAACTATGAGTTTATAGTAAAATTATCTTATATCTATATATTATATTTTTATGGATCCAAATTGGTACCATAAAAATTCTATTAGTTCAGTAGTTTAGTTTTTAAATTAAAATAAGTGATTTTGCCATATTTAAAGTCGGTTTTTCTTTTTGTGGAACACAATCTTTTTTTACAATTTAAAAGTCATTTGCTTGAAGGACCTTTGTCTAATTCGTGTTTCTACCATGAAGCAGTTGTGTTTGCATGGCTGTTTCGGTGTGAAGGGTGCGATATGACAATGAATTTACAGGGTACAGAGGAATAACACCTGAGTCCTCAGGAATGGGAACGCATGGGGGGGTATTATGGGCGAAACAGTATACTCTGTTATGTCCATGGTGCTGCTCATATCTATAGGCGACGGTTACCACTTTCCATCAGGTGGGCCGTCAGCTTGTTTACCAATCTAAGTTGCATAAAAAAAGCTCATCCATAGCAGCAGCGTTATGCGTTTTAAGTATTATTCACCACATCTGAAGGCTATTCAAATGGTACCTTTAAACCCAAGAAAAATACCAAGGAATTTATTCTCATAAAATGACACTTGCAAATGATTGGAAAATCATTGTATATTATGATATGAACCCCTATTGATATGTAATTAAAAACTTCGAGAGATATTTTAAATTAATTATATTTTAAATAATAATAAATCATTTAAAATAATTTACTGAATTAGGTTTTCTTTTGTAGAAGTCGATGCCACTGGTTATTTGAATATATTTTTATTTAACTCCGCTACCATTAGTATGTGTACGACTGCCAATATTTGAAGATTGATTATTGTTATTATTAAAGGTGAAACACGTGTCGGAAAATATGCGTGGACGAAATCGTGGTCGACTGCGATTAAGGGAAGTTTTAAAATGTAATGTTATTGGAATTAAATAATTACAATCAACTAATCAGGAGATATTTTAATCATTCACAAAAAACGTGTGATAAAATAACAGAACAAATTCATAGTGACGTCATAATAAGATACGTCAGTTACTCCGAAGTACAAGATTACAATTGTCAACATTCCTGCACGCGCTCACGTCGCGGGCTTATCAATGGGTGTCGACTATCTAGCTAGCTCGCTGTTCGGCGTATCGGACGAGAGATTCGCAGAACTATAATAGCAGTAATCAATGTTTGGTATTACTTTGGCGTAATCAAACACGTACGCATGGCCACCCTGGTCAGCACACGAGTGCATTATCAAGTATGAATTGTTACATAACATGGTTAGCTGGTAGAGAATGCCATATGGCATTAATCTCGCCACTTGTACAAAGTTTTATTGTGCAATAAAGAATAAATAACTAGTTTTTACCTGCAATTTCGTCCACGTGGCCGGGATAAGTTTGCCTATAACCTTTTCCATCCCATATAGTAAATTTAATAGTAAGTGGGAATGATTAAAACGAACAACTAAATGCCTAGTCTTCGGTGACAGTTACAGTTTTTGTGTAACGTAAAGATGCTTGCACTACATCGTAACAGCTCGCCATCGACAGGTGTTCATCCTCATACCCTAGAGCCTAGATGATTGCATATAACACAGTTTTAGAGATTTTTTCTCCTACGAACACTCAGGTTATGGAATGAGCTTTATGCCGAGGTTTTTCCAAGAAACTACAGCATGAGGTTCTTTAAAAGGGAACTAAAGAGGTTTCTTTAGGGTCGGCAACGCGTGCGCAATACCCCCGGTATTGCAGGCATTGATAGGATACGGTAATTGTTTACCGTCAGGTTGGCTTTATGCTTGTTTGTCACCTCAGTGGTATAAAAAAAAACTATTGGTGTATGTTAGCGGGTTACCAATGAGAAATGATAATTGAAGATTCAAGTCAAATCAGTTCGCTTACTATAGCCATTTTTTTATACCACAGGTGGTAATCAAGCATACGGCCCACGTGACGGTGAGTGGTTACAAGGAATTAACCATAAAAGTTTTTAGGGGAAATCTTGACCCACTTGCTAGAGCCCATATTTCGGTCGTGCACTCCCCCTTGTCTAACACTCCTCTCTCTAACCCTCTATCATCTGTACATGGCATAAGAGTATTATCTCTGTTTGCAGTCGGCGAAGGCACCCCGGCCCCTAGCGCGGTCCGGCGGAGACGCACGTCCCGCGACGGCAAGTGACGGCGGCGGCGCGCGGAGCTGAGCCCCGCGCCCGCGCTGCCGCTGCCGCTGCTGCTGCTCGACTGACCCGCGCACCCGGCCCCCGGGCCCCCGCCCCCGCCCCCGCCCCTGCCGCCGCCGCCGCCCCCGCCCCCGCCACCGCCGGCCACGCTCGCGCTCCTCCGGTGGCTGTACGAAGACACGTCCTTCACTTGAAACAGACATTAACGTGGACATAGATGGCGCAAGTATCGCAATCTATATGAAAGTAAGGCCTCGCTCACACCGCACTATTACTTTTTTTTTTACATGATATATTTTACTGAGTAGTGATAATGCAGTAAAGAAATGTTACTTGTTGTTTACTTTATCACATATACAGTTAAATATGTATATAGAATGCTCACTGAATTTGTCAAACAAACCAAATGAGCTCTTAATATGTTTGGTCTATGCACTTTAAAACGACTACAGTATGCTACTTGTTTTTATATTATTAAAATTTATAGCTGAATTTAATGTGTAAAAAATGTGTAGTACTGCCGTGTGAACTTAGCCTAAAAGTTAATATGTACTGTGATTTGTTTCCGCATTTCTATAAAATATGGAAACTAAAAGAGAACTACGTAGAAATGTATAATTCAGTAAATTAGAAGGTGCGTGATGAATACTCACAGTGTGTATACAAAAAGCGTGCCATATTTTGTCTACTTTCTGTCTTGTATAGAAGCTCTTGATAAAAAATTCTTCTATGCCAAGTTGTTTCAAAAATGTCGCTTGTAATACTTTTTGTTAAAATGTGTTTTTTTTTTACATGCTCATGCAGTAAACTCCGAATGAAATTTAGTCCCATTAAGTTCTGTTAAAAACTTAAATAAAAAATCTGGCACGTATACACTTGCGCGATATCTAATAACATCCATGTCCGTGGTAGAAAGAGTAAAAAGAATGGGAAGCGAACGCGGCGACCGATGTAACGGGTGGCACTCTTTATACACGCGTTCCCCTGTTATCTTTTTGACTTCTTAGTTAATTTATTTAATTTCCACTTTTTTATATCACTGTTAATGTATATCTATTAATTTTTTTTTATAAATTTTGACTAATTATGAAATCTTGAATCATGTTTTAAGTAGACCCGAAATAAATATTTAATACAGTGGTACCTCGACATATGAGTTTATTTCGTTCCGTAACCTTGTTCGTATCTCTAAGTAATTTTTCCCATTGAATTTATTTAAAATGCCATTAATTCGTACTCCCATAAAACCACCTCGGTTGTTTTTGTTAAGTGTTTTTTAGTCTGAGGTGGGAGAAACTGTTAGACACCAACTTCGACCCCGCATGTTGAGGTCGTGTGCAGCGGTGTAATGTAGGATTTCTCGTATCTCAAAACACTCGTATATTAGGGCACTCGTGTATTGAGGTACCATTGTAATTGTTTAAAATGACAATCGTGATTTAATACTACATTTAATCGATCGACTGCACGCTTTCTAGCAATATAATCGATTATTTTATGAATCTCATAAAATTTAGAGAACGTGCGATCATCTGTGGTTTACATGTTCGTACCATTCGTTCGAAATTTGTTGCCATTTTATTGTAGTAGCATATGGTAGATTTTTTCTCTTTTTTAGTAGAAGTTATAAATCAACTAAGCTAACGTGTTCACGGAGTTTCGGTATTTTTATATTATTTTTAAATTAAAAAAAAATATCCTCAAGAAGCCATAATAGTCATTTTTATATTATTTCGGGCTCTACGAGTGTATCGCAATCAATTTAACCTTTTTTTAATATTGCACCTTAACGAAACGCCAAGTACAAATCAAGTCATCGGCCGTTTGCGTTGTTTATGTAAATACATTGTGTTCAATGAACATTATGTATGATGCTCACATATTGCTAGGAAGTTGCATACCGTTCTCATTGTTAAACTCTAGCAAGACTAACTTAATATTTTTTAACAGTTAGTTTTACTAGATTCTATTTTTAAACCGTGAAATAGAATGCGACTTCGTATACTTTCATATAAAATGCGACGTTATTTTTACGACTTTTTTATATTATTTAGTGAACAAATCATGTTACCATTCACTATACTACGCACGCAATTTATAAATAAGTTTATTTCATTCGAGTAATTTTAAGGCATAATGTCAGTGTATCATTGCCGGGTCGTAACTGTGAATGTTACGCCGCGGACGCCTTAGTTTATTAGCGAATAGAGTTGTAATTATTGTACAAAAGAGCACTCGACTTATAGGCACATCGTTAATAGAGTAATACCCGAGAGATATAAATGTGAAATAAATGCATAAAGTTTTAAAAAGATATTTTCATACGTTTTTGCACGTCGTGACGTCGGTTTGGGACGTCAACGCCGCGTAGTTTTATAGGTTTTGGCGGGAGGGCGCCATGTTGTTATTATCAAGTATTTTTTTTTATTTATGTGACTAGGTAGTTGCATTCTATGTGACAAGATTAAGTTAATTAACTACAAAAACATTTAAGTATTATCTAATAAAATGTTATCCTAATAAAAAATATAATAAATATTCAGCGCAAAATTTCTAATTCCATTTTCAAAATATTTGAAACATAATTTAAATAACCATGGCGTCATTCCATCAAAACACTGGCTGCTATAACGATAACTTTAGCATATTTAAATAAGATAATTCACGACCAATAATTATAATTAATATGTGAAACTGACGGATAATTTCATAGTAAAAAAAGATAATAATTGTGACTGAGTGTTTCAACAGTTTGTCTGTTTGGGCTTCCAGTATACTAATCTATTTTATTTTGATGCCTCTTGTACTTTCCAACTTGTTTTTTCCTCGGTCTTTGACACAGATACCCGTCTATGTATTAAAAAAAAAAAGAAACGATCCTACCAGTGAAATTATTAGGCATTTTTAATGATTAGCTTTTTATTTGCATTGTAAATAAAAGAAATGTATTTTAAAACTATTAGTTTCTTAATTAGATGCTAGTAGATATTTATTGATCACAATTTTTTTAATTCAGTCACTTAGTGAAGCATAGATTTGTAAAGTTATGCCATGTTCATCATTTTATGTACTAACAGTACGATGCGTAAAAGAAAATGGTTGTTACGTCAAAATTGAATCTTGCTGCTTTTTATTTGTTTTAATATAAAATTGTAATAAGTAATAAGCTTGAAATGAAATTGACATTGCAATACGATCACAGAATTGATGCCAGTAAATTCTCTTTGAGATACAGTTTCTTGGCTCGGTAAGTGGGATGGGGATAGTTCGTTTATATTTAGCATCCCTTTCTATAAGCTACGTCCTCTTTCTATATGGAAGATACGCAAAAGGTGCAATTCCAAAATTTATTGGCCTCAATTTTCTCCATAATGATGAACATGTTCGCTTCTTACATTTGTGATTTCTAATTTTAACTGGATGAATACGCAAAGCAATAATTCGTGGATGTGACTTAGTTTACAGCATGTTTTTGACAGATTTATCTACAGTTTAACTGGCGAATGTATTTGCAGTATTTATTAGGCGCTCTGTCAATTTGTGAGCAGTTTTTGTTTTTTTTTTTATTTTATTGCCTGGGACGGTATTAGTCAGAGGCATTCTCGTATTGACCTGATAGTGACTTTATTTTTCTACCGTAAACCCCCCTCCCCCTTTCTACTTTTTGACGTTTAAAAGTTCTATTGTAGTTGGAGCAGTGATAGTGCTACAATACAAACTGTTAGTGTGTACGTAGTATGTATAGTGTATTGGAATATAATATGAATTAAGAAATATAATTGCCTGATAAAATTGTGCCCTATAACGTGTGCCGTGGACAGAGGTGTGTGCATTACTGTAGCTTAGAGGAGCCGTTGTCAGTGGGCGTTGGGCAGCCGGCGATATCGCGTGTACCCTTTGTTTTATCTTTATAAATTTATTAGTTTACCGTTCGGCTGATGTACAATCTCTTGTAAATTTTTATGTATAGATGGGGAAATTAATATATGTTACGCGTAAGTGATTGTTTTTTTTTTTTTATATATTTGAAACCGATTTTTTGGGAGTAGTTGTAAATAGGTACGCGCCGGCCTCGGCCGCTCGCACGACCGTACCGTATCGTAGGAATGCAAAGCCTTATACTGTAATATAGATGTACGTGCGATACGCAAGCTTGTACCATATAATTCTAGTGGATGAACTCTCAGATAGATGTGTATATGGGTGTATAGTAATCCTTCTAGTTTCTTGTTTTTGTTTATTATTATTATTATTATTTTCGACTAATTGATAGTAATTTATGCTGATAAAATATCTATATTATACATTTATGTATGTACTATGAAAGAGAAACTACAAATAGATTTTAACACTATAAATATAGCATAGGTGTTACACCACACACGAGATAGCTTATAGTTTTGGTATGTAAACATTATATGACTTGTAAATACATTGCAGAAAATAGTTATTAAAAGAATTGATACAATAAAATTTAATTTTACGTTATTGTAATATTTTTTTCTAGTTCGTGTTGTTAATAGGACGCCCACGTGTCCGATACAATATAGGAGAATCAAACATAATGAAATGCCTGTAATTCTTTTTTTTGTTGCTGGCAATTTTATGACGTTTTTCAAACTATTCAATTTTTATTGTGCATTACTTTCTGTAAGTTGCTTTCACTGTCGTTCTAGATTATGTTTAAAATCATATAATTATATTCGTAAAGTACGATGAGTCATGGTGAATTATGATCATATTATTATGAATGAAAAGAAATACGGAATATTATTGTTCTGCTATTATTAAATTTGTAAAGTTAGTTTATTAATAAATGAATAAAAAATATTTTGTTGTTTCACTCACTATATGTATTGTTCAATGTACGTCAACTTAAGAACAAGATATTTTTCAACAATGTTAACACCTGCTGGCGTTGCTGAAAATCTAAAACAAGTATACTCTGTTATGTCCATGGTACTGCTCGTGTCTATAGGCGACAGTTACCACTTTCCATCAAGTGGGCGGTCAGCTTGTTTGCCATTTTAAGTTGCATAAAAAAAAAAGAAAAAACCGTAAGACTATAAAGGATTTGTTTTATATACTTCATATAATCGGGACGGTAAACAAGCATTCGGTCCACCTGATCGTATGACTCGCAGTCTATGGTCGTTTGACACGAGATGTTCATTCATTAATTTATTTTTATAATTAAATTTGTAAAAATTCAACGGAAGGGAATCGAAGAGACTGGTGACGAACATACATTACAGATAAAAAAAAACTATTAATATAAATTGAAATAATAAATATCTACTTACTCTACCTACTTTCTAGTTTCTTATCATAAATAATTTATTTATTAAACTTTAATACCCTAATTTCACCATATCAGCTTTAACTGTTCACTGTTAAACACAAGCCTCCCCCTTAAGAGGTTTTGCCAGTACTTGCCACGCTTAGCAGGTGAATTGGCAACCGCAATTAGGCTTTGGAGATGTTTTAAGAGGGACGCTGCTGCCCATTCCTCGTCTTCCTTAGTCGCCTCTTATGACACCCACGGGAAAGGAAGGGGTGGCCTATTCTATGTCGGAACTACATGGGAACTCAAATATATATAAAACTATTTTTACATTAAAATATTTATGATCCTTTCCCTTAGCATCTTAACAGCTTGGTTGCAGATGAAAGCAGGTAATTCGGATATATTCTTCTAATATTATAAATATGGAAGTATGTTTGTTCGATTTTTACATCTTGGAGCCTTAACGGCTTTATTAATTACTATGAATTTTGATCTTAATAGACGGAAAGCAGGTAAACTTTTTTATACAATTTTGCGTAATAAATAGGTGAGTGATTTCTTTATAACTTGTATATTCATTTTGTCTTATAAATTTTGCACCATGTTAATGCGCAAACCTCATTTATTAAATTATTAAATAGATACGTCAAGGTACATTGTGCGCGCAAGTATATAGAACACTAATAAAAAAACGAGTCGGGTAATTTGACAATAAGCTGACAAAAAGTTGATCCGTTTTTGAGGCTCGATACTCTATCTATAGAATCTAAAAATTTGATATACTCGTATTATATGGTATGGAGAAGAATATAAATGATTTTTATTCCGGTCAGTGAACATATGCCGGCCACGCGTAAGAAGTTGCGGGTAAAAGCTTGTTTATTTATATTTCAGCTCATTATAAATTTTTATCATTGACCTTTTATCCTCACCTATCATCACTCACTAGGGGCCCGCCAGTCTACATCGATAGCGCCGGTGGATTACCATTGCATTTTCGCCCATTAAAAAAACCTTTAAATGCAATTATCATATATCGTATTTTATAAAATAAATAAATTCCACACTAAATATATATTCGGTAAGATAATGTAATTTTTAAATTAAAAAAAAAAGAATATCGAAATCATTTCACTTATTAAAAAGAAATTGCTATTATTTTATTATTACATCTGTTATTATCAATAGTCTGATACCAAATTTGATCCAGACCGGTTTCTGTATTTACATTAAAACCCGGTCACGGATATACGTAGGTATACTACGTGTATGGGGTATTACGGATTATATATTTATTTTCGTGCCATATGGTACAGATTAGATATTACAGTGTAATAGGTAAGTACATAACGCATGTGACACCCGTAGATGCACTGCAATTTCCAGACAGAACTATACAGGTTTATAACATTTCGATCTGCACAATTATATTATGCTTTATATTTAATAAAATAGGTTCCACCTTTAGAATACCTGTGTAAGTAAAGAATAGGACTAGTGGTAAATTTACATATTTGCTCTCAGTAAGCTATTCAAATTTTGTCGTTCTGTTGTAAATAGCAGGATGCAGTAATAAAACATATACGTATTTGAGATATAAAATAATAAGTTTAGTGAAAAAAAAAAAATACGAGATTTGACTTTTAAAAATCTGACATAGAACAAACTTAAAAATAATACATTGTTCTAAAAAACCTGTGTCAACAGCCAGTATTAAAACTTCAACATTGTTGTAAATAGCAGGATGCAGTAATAAAACATATATGTATTTGAAATATAAAATAATAAGTTTAGTAAAAAAAATACGAGACATTTCTTATAAAAATCTGACATAGAACAAACTTAAAAATAATAGGTACATTGTTCTAAAAAACCTCAGTGTCAACAGCGAGTATTAAAATTTCAACAGTTTCTACCGCCCTCTATTATTTAAAACAGGTGTTCACAATTATATTAATTATATTTTTTTACTAATGAAAATATAACTTTATGATTATTAATAAAAATGGGCTTCAAATTTACTGAAGGTATAATGAGCCTGCTAGTAAATCCGGCGTTGAATAGAATTATTAGTCTTTGACTAATGCAATAAAAGAACATTAAATATTTTTTGTGTGGCGTACTAATAAAATCGATGGTAAGTAGTAACTAAAAATGTGAAAAAAAAAATCACATTATATATTATAATAAACAACGTCCTTCTCTTTTTTACACCACGTTAGGAATGAATACAAAGAGAACATACTGAGTCCAAAAGAAATTCTAGCATTGGATTGGTTGATTTAGTTTATGTCATATTTAGTTAGAACACAACCAATAACAAAGCTTTTGAGTTAGATTGTGTCAAATCAAATAGAAATGTCAAATGTTACGTAAATGTAATTGAAATCAGACTGATTACTTTTGCACTTGCTGCGATATATCGATTTGGTCTTAATTTTATAAATTATTTACAAAGTTACGGTAAGTAATAAAAATAATATAAAAATATCACAAAATCTGTATCAAAAATTTTCATTTTATATAAAAATGTAAAATGTTTAAATACTTTTAAGCATAACAAATCAATGTTATGTAATGTGTCCATTGACGGTGCTCACCCACGAGATTTTATCAATTTCAATTTTAAATCTCGATTCTAGCTGTGATTTGTGTTATAAAAATTTTTGAAAACGATTAAGATAATAGATATAGTCTATAAACTGTGTAAACATTGATATATCATTGTTAGAAGTAAGTACAAGATAGCGTTTTTAAGCAATTTTTTCAAGTGTCTAATAGGAAAAGAAAACTGAATTAGTTACATTATTGTTGTAAACTGTTTTTTTTTTTAATGGATGATTATGGAATGGTAATCCCGTCTGCGCTATTGGTATACACTGGCGGGGCCCATAAAAAGTGAGGGACGATAAGTGAAAATGAAGCAGGTCAGTTAGCTCATTGTGACAAATTCACCAATGGATCGGCCACGATGGTTTCCAGGGGGAACCGCGAGGAGGTCGACCTGATAGGGTATATTGCTAGTAATAGGGTTGCTAATCCCCATTACTAACAATCCCTTTTCACCCATTGTAAACTGTAATTGGAGTTAATATTATTTATTTGAAGTAAATGTCTAAGTAAAATGTAGGTAGTGTTTTCAATTTCTTTGCTATAAGCAGGTTATTAGTGTAAAATATATAGTTAGTGGATACCTTTAGGGGTGGTTTATTTTTAACAGGCTTTTCCTATGTATTAGTTTTGAAGAGGATTTTTTAGCGTAATAGTTACACTTCTTTATCTAAACATCTGATATTCTCTTCGTATTGTCCTCATGGGATAAAATATACTGAGTTGAAAGAATGTTTAAGAAAAGACATGATTATCATCATTCCGAAAAACTTTAATTCGTTCGAGAAAGGACAGTTGTACAATATTTTTACCTATTAAAATCATGTGTTGTGTCCAGAAGAACTATAGGTAGTCAACCTCAATTGGAGGCTGCAATCTCTAGGCTGGTTACATTAATTATTGTTGAAGGTTACAATATATATATCTTTTTATTTAAGAGTTTCCTCTTGTCGATGCAACTAATTCACGCATCTTCTTCCATCCAGTTCTATCCCATTTTATTTATTTAATACTTTATTGTACACACCACTTATTTATAAAAATATGACAGAGGTAATCAAATGTACAAAGGCGAGCTTAACTCTAAAAGAGTTCTCTTCCATTAATATAAATCTAGATATTTGACACTTCCTACTTGACAAGTGACAAAAAATAGCTGAGCTGATTAAAGATTGTGTCCCATAAAAAACTTACTTAAATTGTAGCAAAACTAGAAATTTTGATTTAAAAACTAAATTATTGAGCCGATTTTGATAAAATTTCTATTGTAAGTATATAATTCCAGATAAAAAAGAATTTTCCAAATTGGTTTATAACTGTCAGAGTTGTGAAATAAAAAAAAATGTACAAACACAAAAAAAATACCAAATTGAAAATCTAATGAAGTTGATTAAAAAGTGTCTTGAATTAAAATTGGTTAAATGTTATAAAATTTTAGAATAAATTTGAAACTGCTTATAATTCTCATGTTGTATTGAGAAAATATTTTAAATGTTGTCATTTAAAATAATTTCTCGGCACATTTGGTTACAAATATCTTTGGATCTGTTAGAAGTGAATCGGTATGTTATAATTTAAATAATTTTAACTGCCATTCATGTAACTCTTAGTGTTTTTTTTTTATATTTTTTTTTATTATAGCCACTAAAAAAGTAAATCATTTTAAGTCGAGACATATAAATCTTTGCAGATGGCTGGTGACAAGGCAGTGTCGACCGCGAGCAAGCCCCAGTTGCGTGGCCTCCTGACTGCGTCCATCAGACGTAATTTGATCGTAGCCATATCGCTTAGTGCCGTCGCTGCTTTCTCTTTCAAACAAATCGTTGGCAATGAGCGCAAGAGGAAATACGCCGAATTTTACAGGTTTGTTAATAATACGTTAGTATGAAAAGTGGTAAAAACGCAGTGTAGGACAATCCCCCCATTAGAGTGACAACCTGAAATGCGTTGCAGGGAGTCAGTGAATGCAGGTGGCTCAGGACCATTCTTTATGGCAGTCTATGGGGGAGGCTTATGACCAGCAGTGGACGGATAATGGCTGAAATTATGATGAAAAGTTGGGAATTATTGTTGATATATAAAAAATAATTCCCAACAATATATAAAAAACTATTATAAATTCAATTCAATTCAAATATTATAAATGTGAAAATGTATTTCTTCATTACTTCTTAATGCATTAATGGCTCAACCAATTGTTGTTAAATTTTCATGTAATAAATACCGGTTTAACTTAAACACGTCTGACACAGTCAGGCTCGTGCTTGCATCGCAGACGCTCGCGATTAAAGATCACGAATTGATTTCTAAACTAGTCGAGCTTTTTCGATCTAATTACACGTAAGTTATACCGGTAGTTACATACATTAAAATATAATGTGTGCTCACGAAATGTTTAACAATAAAATAGTCATTAAATTTTATATAAAATTACTATTGCGATGGAGAACCTATTTCCTTCTCTATCGCTCTTATTTATCTCGGTCAATCATCATGTCACATTTACGCGGATGAAAACGTGGGTAAGACCTTGTATGTAAATGTAATTGAATCCGGAATGATAGGGTTTTTTTAATGGGTGATAATGGAATGGTAACATTAACCTGCTCTATTGGTATACGTTGGCGGGGCACCCATGAGGGATGATAGTTGAGTATAAAAAAACAGTGATAAATTGAACAAGAATTAAGCACTATGGTTTCCAGGGAAACCCCGTGGAGGTCTGCCTAACAGGGTCTATTGCTAGCAATAAGACTGTTAGTCAGTATTACTAACAATCCTTTACTCTCCGAAATGATACGTTAGGTTAGTAGTTATTTAGCGAAAGTGTGATAAATTCACTACGAATTCACTAAAATGGACATGGGACTGCGTGGGGATTGTATCTAATCCTCTCTCGATCATATACTGTTTAAGAGAGCAGCAAAATATTTACTAAAATCTGTTTGCAATGCATTTATTATATGCATGTCTAGTTATAAATGTAGACAAATCAAGAGAGGTATAAGGCTGTAGACACTCTACCTACCCCATGACAGACATAGCATGAAGATAGATCATTAATACTGCTATCCTTTTCAGGACATACGACGCCGAGAAGGAATTCGAAGAGATGAGGAAGAAGGGTCTATTCCAGTCCTGTTGAACAGCGACGCATGTAGTGTAGTATTATTTTTATTTTGCTGTGAATAATGTTATACGATATATATGCAATAAAATGTACTATTATTGTTTTAATGCTCATGTATTATGTTCCTGGTTTTCGTCCAACAATTGTATTAGAACACTTACAGCGCCCCCCCCCCCCTCTCGGGTCCTTTTTTATGGGATGATAATGGAATACTATGGAAGAGATGATAATTTATTTGTTAATATATATATATATATATATATATATATATATATATATATATATATATATATATATATATATATATATATATATAACATAATAATAATAATAATCTTTATTTAAAACAGTAAATTATAAAATTGCTTAACTATTAAACCCCATATGGGTCGAGCCTGTATCTGAGGAACCTATTAAATATTTAACTTATTAAACTTGACTGGATAGTTATAATTTTAATATAAATGTATATAATAATTTGTAATAGTTTGTGCGTGTGTCGGTGTGTGTGATATGAAACTATAATATGTTTGCATTTTGATAAATATTTCAGACAATAGGTTTTATCATGCGCATACAGAGGACTTTTGTTTATTTTTTTATTGGATGAAAATGGAGTGGTAACCCCGCCAGCGCTAACGGGATACGCTGGCGGGGCACCAGTGAAGGGTGATCGAGGAGAATGAAAACAGACCAGTTAGCCCATCATGATGAATTCATCAGGAATTAACCATGATAGTTTCCAGGGAGAACCGCGAGAAGGTCGACCTGGTTGGGTATATTGCTAGCAATGGGATTCTTAGTCTCCATTACTAACAATCCCTTTCCCCCCGCATACAGAGGACTGTATGCGCATAAGTTAGAGATTGTTTCCAATTACGTATTTTTAATATTTCTTCTTTCACTGAACATCGGGTGATATTGCACTTTTTTGATATTTTATTATAAATATAAGGAAACATAAACATTGGTAAGCGGGAAGCGAAGTAGGACTTCACACAAGTTTGGTGTACAGAAGGGTCTTTTTACCGGCAGTCTGGGGTTATGACAGTAACCCCCTCCCCCCTCATTACAACAATCCCAATCCTCCCACACGAATTCCCTAGGTTTTGATTGCATCTACCTCTCAGGTGTGGTGTGTGGGCGAAAGGGTTGGGAATTTGGTATACGCTACTGGGGCATCAGTGAGGATGCAAGCAGATCAGTTGACCTATCGTGACAGATTCAAGAAGTGATCCGTTTATATTCCGTTCCCTTTGGATAAGGTCGTCGTAATAATAGAATAGAATAGAAAAATTTTGTTAACGGAGAGACTGGCGAGAACAGCGCTGTACAGCTGTACACATTGCACTGGGGCACTCATAGCATCAGCTGAGCCAGTTTCTAATGCCTAATATGAGACACTATTTATATATGTAACATTTTTGTATTTTCTTTTGTCATTATGTTTGTCTGGCAATAAATATTTTCTATTCTATTCTATATAATGTATTCGTCATGATCGTCCAATTGATGTGAGTATATCTTCATTCGTTAATCATAAACTGATACTGGAACGGCGTCCCTATCCGCGCTATCGGTTCATCACGCAATAGATTTTGATACCAGTTTTACTGATTTTTAAATTTATTATACGGAAAGTAGATATTATGCTTAATCTATGGTTTGTATACTATGTTTAATCTATGGTTTGTGTACAATGTAGTTGAACTTTTTGGTAGAACAGAAGCTATAATTAAGTGACTTCGAAAAAGAGAATCTGTCTAGTTTTCTTGAGGCCTTTCGTTTTAAGGTAGAACATTGGGCCTTTTAAGGTGAGGCATTGCCCCTCATGCCCCCCCCCCCCCCCCAGTTACGGCCATTGTGCGGGTCACTAATTACAAATGAAAATGTCCAATAATTTTCCAATAATTTATTCAGGACATCAAGTAATTACGTAACTTTCCAGAATACATAAATAATTTGAACATGAACAGCTCAATCGATTACACTATCGCCTTAACGATTATTTTACATTATATCTTATTAAATTTTTCAAATTGATTTATTCACTATAAAAACATACAGAATATCAGTAATACAGGGACCAGCCTGTTTCATCTACAAATTACAATCTAAATAAAATAAATTATTTCTAAACAAATTATATAAAATACATACATAGATTTTATTCATTTGATGTCCGTCTCAATGTTTGGATTTGACATTTTTTTGTGTAAAAGTTATCCAAACAGAAGTATGATTTTAAGCGTAGTTTTTTTTTTTAGTAAAACATTATTAATGTAACAGGCCTATTTAAATTAATAATTAAAATGAACCTAATAATGGTGCTTTTTTTTATTAAATATTAATGAATATACACTATGATAATGAGTAGGTAATAAATATAATAGGCAGATTTATAAGGAAGGTAACAAAATTTATAATTTTAGAGTAAATAATATGTTTTACAAATTGTTACTTAAATAGAATATTAAAAAGTGGTTCTTAATTAAATGACCTGCGCAGACAAAACTCAATATTCAGCATATATATTAATTTTAACCTCTCAACTGATTAAAGTACCAATCTCGGCAGGGAGCAAGAACACGAAGCCAATTCTCATACTAAACCTCACCCATTTGGAAGATTTTGAATGTAGTTTAAAGAATATTTGCGTATTGAACAGCTTTAATGAAATAAATTTTTACGAGTGATGTTGGTAGGTTCACCTCCGATCAAATGGCAACGGCCACAGACGATAAATACTTGATGAATTAATCTTAAGTACTTCTTCAAAGTTATTAACATATTTGTTTGTTTAATATTTCTAGAATATATTGATAGTTTTCGTTAGCGTCTCATTGTTTTAAAAAAATATTGTCCTACGCCAACAAAATGCCCTTCATTTGCACAGGTCCAAATCGAGTTTATTTTTTTTGTTACATATTATTGCGCAATGGAGATATGAATAACTTATTAAGTATTTATTTTTTGTTTCAAAAACTTATAAAAGTATATAGATAGTAAAAAATATTGGAATTAATGTCTAATTAAATATAGCAGTAATTCAAAAGATTTTGGAATATATGGAACGCAAAAATCGATATAGCGTGTGCTCATCGTGTTTATGAAGTTACCATTGTGTTAGAAAGAGATAGATTTAAAAACGCATCCACCTTTTGAACAAGTCCATATAAATATTATTCATGACACATAAAATTTTAGTTTTTACTTGCCTTGCCTTGCCTTAGGAAAGAGGCAACCATATTATTTACTTGCTTTTATTTAATCTGTTCTTTTCCTTCTATTTTAGTCTTTGCTCTTAGAGCAATTTACACTAAACAAATTACATAGAATTTTTTTTGAGAGAATGAATGAATGAAATTAATCATTCATTCATAAAGAATAACAATAGTAAGCTAAAATTGAAGGAGAGAATGGTATTATAATTTAACTAATATTAACAGAATCGGTAATATGTTTGTTGTATATTATATTTCCAAACGTGAATTAGCCTATGTTTATATAATATATTATTTATGATATATAATTGTGTAAGTATAGCTTATATATTATGATAAAGTAGAAAATGGCGGTAAAAAATAAAATTAGGACAGTCTTAGTACAGTTGGCTCTGTAGGAGATTCCGAACAATAACGAGCGTGTTAATTAAAAAGTTACATGTCATTATATACTACAATAATAAGTGTCACATTTTTCAAAATACATTTATAAATAAATTTCACTCAGGCAAAACCTTTAGGTATCCCCCACTGTTGTGGAAATGTCGAGAAATCCCTTTTTAAAAATAAGTACCTAGGTAGAATATTAGATTTTGGTCTTAGTGTTTCTTATTCGATTCCAGAGTCTACACATGAGGTAAAATTCTATTGGCAATGTTAAAGCATAATGCGTGGGATTGGCGTAGGTTTACTTAAAAGATAATTAAAATACATATAGTACAAGAATTGCTTGCATATTACATTGTTTTTTGTGATCTGAGTAGATTCAATGGTATGATGTATATTTGAGTTGCCATTTATACACATACCACGTCAAGTTAGTTCAACAATATGTTATGGCCCCAGGACGTGTATCAATATTAGTTTTTTGCTCTTTTCCATAAACAACATTGCTAACAGAATGTTACTTCGCCAATAAACCCTATTTACTCCAGTTAAATAATCGCATATACATTTTACATTACTTAATTTGATTGTTCCTATAATTTGGTTTGTTTTTAATTTAAACGTGTCTAAATGTTGACTATATTTCATATATTTATTTCTATTTCATTTAGAATATGTAACGCCATATTGGAGCAAACTATAGTGGTAACTGTCGAAAACAAAAGTAGGTACCTATTATGTTAGCTGAAATATATTTTTAGTATGAAAAAAGAAAAATTACTTCGGTCAGGCGGTGACATGTAAATCATACCATTTCCTTAAATAAAAGACAAACGAATGTATCGATATACACGATATCGCTACTGCGAGCATGATATAAAACGAGACAGCAAAGTCTTTTTCATGGTTACACAAATGAATATGTAGTATGAATATATTCGTATATCTGAGTGAAGTTGAGGTGAAGACAAATGGATAAAATGTGTTGCTTATATAGATAGGTACCTACTTATTACAACAATATATATGTATGTAATTGTATTATAATAATATATTTAATAAAGTATAATAATATAATAGTTTTTAAAATTAAATTACTTAACTACGCAATATATACATACGAAATACAAGTTTTTATTGCTAATGTAGGTAAACATTTTTTAATTAAAAATTCGACAGATACCATGATCTCCATCTTTTTTAATTTTATATGTGCGATCTCAAAGCGGTCACAAATATGGAGGCATTATAGTTAATACCAACTTTATAATGTTGAGTTCGCATTTTAATTATATTAATATTACAATAAAATAATAGACAATTTTACGATGAACCAGCATCTATAATTATTCTCACACCATACGTCGTGACTAGGTTGAACGAAATAATTAAATTACAGGTACTTCAAAAATACTATAAAGGCAGGTATAAAATTTATAATCAACTTTTCACTTAATATTTTGGCGTAGCATGATTAGTCGGCATGCATTTATTTTCTTATAAAAATATTACATTTCCATGTTCAAATTATATTAAAATAAAACGGTAAACTTAATTGGAATAGGTATGTGATTTGAAGATATTAATCTGTAAAAAAGCGCGGGAAACAATATACAATTTAAAATTGAGAAACTACTCTACGTGGTGCAAAAATGGTCGTAACTTATCGCGAGATTATACGATATTTGTTATATTTATTTGACTACAGTATTAAGTACAAATTTTTTATAATTTAGGTTAGATGTAAAAGAATAAATATACAGTACTTATATATTTTAAAATAATAATTATGTACAATTATATTGATTGGAGCCACAGATTAAATTAGAATTTAAATTAAAAATGTTTTGTTTTTTTTTTTTCTACGAATTGCATTTTTTTAAGATCAATGGATATAGATAAAGGCATAGGTTAATGTATGGTTTATTTCTTCTTATAAGGAAAAGTGACCAAAATATTTTGTAAGGTTCTATTGATGTGTAGTAACATTAGCAGATAGCTATTGAAAAACAAAACTGAAAATTGACTTATGAGTACAATTAATTTAACCTTACATCTATTTTTCACCACAAAATTACGTCTAAACATCAACATTATAGATAGAGAACTCACTAAATATAATTTAATTTAATAATGTAATTAATAAGCGTAATAGATCAAAAACATTAATGTTTTTTTTTTATTATTTCATATTTTCTTCATTCTCTCTTCGTGGTATAAGCCACTATGAAATTGCTTCCATTTCGTAATATTTTATAACCATTTGTAATTTTTATTAGGTATTTTGATAAGTTGTTATCAATAATTCAATCAATATTCCATTTAGAGTTTCAATTTTGTGTACTTATTTACTTAGGTATATTTGTTCAAATCGTCACGCTGAAAAAGACGTTTGGTGATTTATAAAACAGTAACTAGATACATATATATTTTGTAAGTGAATCAATTTTCATCATCATCACCCATGATCAAAATCCCATTTATAATTGTCTTAATTTTTATATTGAATACACTTGATTCCAAAAAATCATGGACACAAATCATATTATTCACCATTTATTTTTTAACAGATTTGTTATTCTTCTATGATTCATTCTGGTGATGAAAACGCTCAGTGGATTTTTATTAAGATAATTTTCATAATTTTGTTATAATTTAGAATCGTGACCACATTTAACCAAGTCTTCTATCTACATATATTAAAAGTATTCAAAATATTCAATGTAGATATGCGAAATTCGATTTTCCCGCCATTATCACATAATAAACCTAAAAGAATTTAAAACTTTGATTAGGTACTAAAGATATGATCGATACTGTTTTATTGGTAAAAAAATAGCAAATAAGAAAGCGACCCATCCCATGGAAAGTGATAGGTAACCACCATCTACAGACATGAACATTAGGTGCTATCGTAAATCTTTCTGTAGGTCGTCTATTCATAACACCATTTTAACTAGGTATCTAGGTATTTTAACATAAAAGTTTTTCATTGTTTCAATTGGAAATAAGGAAAACATTTTTGCAAATTTATGTAAAGAAATACGGTTAGGTGGTAGTAGTAGTAACTAAATAAGCTTAAAAACATTGTTAAAAAAAGGACTTAGAAAGAAATATGACAGATTTGAATATGGCTGAAATGAAATGTCAAAATTTGACATTTGACATTTAAGAGGCGGGTCGTATATTAATTTTCGTAATGATTAAACGGAGCCAAATGTAGTCACGCAACTATTAAATGATTAATTAATAAGTTATTATCAGCAGCCTTCACTGCCCCTCACGGAGAATGTTTTCCCTTCGCTGCCCTCGTCACCGTAGCCCTTGTCGTCGTACTCGCACTCCCTGCCAGCCTTCACTGAGTCCACTAGTGGGCCTTCCAACTTGACACACAGTATCTCCTTGAAGTTCTCCAGGGCGATGGCCAATACTGATCCGCCGAGTAATACTTCGCACGACGTGATTCGTTCCGGTGGCGTGTATACAGCGATTAACTTGCCTGTAAGTCAGAATAGAAAAATAATAAGGTCAAGTAATTCTTAATTTTTTTTTTTATACAGCTTAGAAAGGCAAACAAGCTGACGGCCCACTTGATTATTAGAATTGCATTTCCGTCTTATCGGGAGAGATCTGTTTCCAGTAGTGGCGTAAAGTATTTAGTTGTATATCATCAGAATCAACATTTTTTTTTATACAACTTAGAATGGCAAACAAGTTGACGACCCACCTGATGGAAAGTGGTAACCGTCGCCTATAGACATGAGCGGTACCATGGACATAACAGAGTATACTGTTTCGCTCATGATACCCCCTATGCGTTGCCATTCCTGAGGACTTTAATATATAAGTATAAAATGTAACATTATGGCTGGCATATTCGTGTCTAAACTAAGCCTAACTGTATCTTAGACACCCACGCCTTCAATCAGATACATATTTTCGTGCAGTTTTGGTATATTACAATCTATATCTACATCTACACTAACTAATAATATTATAAAGAGGAAAGATTTGTATTTTTGTGTGTATGTATGTTTGTAATGAATAAACTCAAAAACTACTTTGCCGATTTCAAAAATTCTTTCACTATTAGAATGCTACATTCACCCTGAGTAACATAGGCCATATTTATTGCTAGAAAAGATTAGGAATCCTTACTAAAACTTTAGTAACGTAACTGAAGGTGTCAATAAAATGCTATAAAATATCTTTCGTCGCGTGCGCTGCTGAAACTATTGGTGATAGAACAAAAGTATGTTCTACAATATTGAAGAAAATATTAATAACTACAAAAAACTTCGCGATATTATATGTCCAACTATTATCGTTATGTCACAATAACCACTTTATAAAATGTTGTAAAAAAGTCTACCCGTGCGAAGCCGGGACGGGCCGCTAGTTGGGTATAAAATAAATATGCTTTATTTTAACGTGAGCTAAAACTATTCAGTAAAACCGTTTCAATATACATGAATCACGTCGGGTTATGTATCGTTACATTGGTTTGCGTTCTGTCAACCATTTTACACGTGCATAGTCGAATTGGAGCTTCGAAAGTAATAAGGGAAAACATGGACGATGCTGATGAAACATATCATACGGGGAATGGATTAAACGCAGAATGAGGGACCTGTTAATAGAACAACCAATCTATTGCATAGTGTCTTCGCTAAATTAAACGTTTTATCGTCTCAATGTACAAGAATCGCGGTAGAAAATATAAATGTTTAATGAGGCCTATACAATCAAAGGCAGCTAAATGCCATAAAATCAATTTTATTTTCACTTTGTACTCAAATATAGAGGGAGTTTATAGGGAGGGAGTATATATTTTAAACCAGATTGAAAAAATATTTTAATTTTTTCAATCTGGTTTAAAATATAGAATATCGTCTATGTAGTTTCCTGAACATTTGACAGACTTAGATTTAGCTGTCTTTAATTTTATAGGCCTCAAATATTCATATATTTCTCAAAATAAACTCAAAATTTATAGGTCTATAAGTCTATTGTTAAATAAACAACCTATTAATCAACAACGTTTTATCTGTAAGTATGTTATTTTTCACAAGATTGTATGTATGTATATAATTAATTTCGGCGAACTTATTTCATTAAAGTCTTGCTAGCTAATGTTGAGAAAGGACCAGAGGGCCTACCATGAAATGTTTTCCGAAATTTCGGAGTCAAACGAAACAGAAATTTGATGTTAAAATTACATAATACATGCTGTTTGGAAATATTAAATATGTTAAAATATTGTTCCTTTGGACTTTTATGATAGGATGTATGACGAACGAAATGTTACACTCCATTTATTGGTCCGATTTTGGTATAAACAAAAACACGAAATTGTGTCCGAAATTTCGGAATTTCATTTCATGGTAGACTGGCAGTTTTATTGTAACTTATGTTAAATCGCTGCGATTAGATATTATGAACAAAAGTGGAGGTGTATTGAAAAATCCTTTAAAGGTATTGTATGAGATATCTAGTAGGATGTATAGCAACCTGCGTGGAGGTCCCAGAGGCGGACGGAGAGGTCCCGACAGGAGTGGTCGGCAGACATGAGCACGCCGCCCGACTTGGCCAGCCGCAGCAGCGACGGCGCCGCCACGTGCCCGCGCAGCGTCAGCCGACAGTTGCCTGACAAATTTATTTATTTAATAGTACATATACGTGTACAAGGCAGACTTAATGCGAAAAGAATTCTCTCCCAGTCATCCTTAGGAAAATGGTAGAATACTCGAATGCGGTACTAGTAATATACATACTAAAATTTACATATATATACAAGTATATATATATATATAAATAACAATTATATTTACACATATATAAAATGGAGCAATAACTACATGGGACAGATAAAGGAAACACTAGGCGTCATGTCGTATAGGGAGATAAAGGATATGGCCTGGGATAGAGCTGGCTGGAGGAAGATGCATGGATTAGTTGCACCGACAAGAGGAAACTCTTAAATGAAAACAAAAGATATATTATATACAAAAATGAGAATGGTAATACAATTCATCATCAGCAGGTAGATTGCGATAAACTGGTTGGCCATACCTGCTCTAGAGTATGTGATACGAGAGAAAAGTTGAGTAAAGAGAAGTAATATCTCTCTACTATTAAAAAACACGTTCATTTACACACAAACTCGTTGTAATTATTTGGCTATACATTATTACTAAACCCGAGAACGTTATTTTCTATTCCTTCATTTCAAACTCACCAGTGACCAGGTCCCAGACGAGTATTCTAGTGTCAGCCAGACCTGACACCACGCACCCATCCACCGAGCTGATTGCGAGCGCCACAGTGTCGCACCCCGGCTTCCACTTCTTGAATAACGTTCCCGATTGCAAGTCGTACACCACGATGAAGTTTGGACTGGGCTCGTCTAGTTCTCTGGACACCACGCACACATAGGAACCTGGGGGGTTTCATAATATGACACAAGTGTGTATGTTGTCGCCTTGGAGCAAAAATAGACATAGAGCAAAATTAAATAATCAAAATTGAACATGGGGCAAAATTTGATACTGGGTAAAAATAAGTACTTGTGATTATCAAATCACTATGATTTATAATTTTTTTTTATACAACATAGAATGGCAAACAAGCTGACGGCCCACCTGATGTAAAGTGGTAACCGTCGCCTATAGACATGAGCAGTACCATGGACATAACAGAGTATACTGTTTCGCCTATGATGCGTTGCCATTCCTGAGGACTCAGGTGTTATTCCTCTGTACCCAGTAAATTCACGCCTTATCCCACCGTTCAAACCGAAACACAGCCATGCAAACACAACTGCTTCACGGTAGAAACACGAATGGTACAGAGGCACCCAAGCAATCGACTTTTGTACAAAGTCTCCCTCTGGTTCCCTCATCTCATTCCTTCCTATGTCTTCAATATGGCTATCCTTATCTATGGTCCTGGTAAATAATGCAACGAAGAAAATGAAGTCACGGTCAAAAGCCAGTATATAATCGAAAATGTAAGTACCTTCGTAAGTGATGGCAGCCTTGGAGGTGATGAAGTCGTGATGCGGTATCCGCAGGTCGTAGAGCAGCTTGCGCGACGCCAGTGACCAAACCAGCAGTGGAAAAGGTTTCTGGGTCTCGTCACCGCATACAAGGATTCTAAACATAATAAGCCAAGGTTATTTTTTAATTTTTTAACAAACCTTGCAGTTGTAATAACTTAATAATTAACTATACATGACAACATTAAGCTAATAAGAAGCTACTGGGGGGAAAGGGATTGTTAGTAATGGAGACTGAGAATCCCATTGCTAGCAATATACCCAACCAGGTCGACCTCCTCACGGTTCCCCCTGGAAACTATCATGGTTAATTCCTGATGAATTCATCATGATGGGCTAACTGGCCTGTTTTCATTCTCATCTATCACCCTTCACTGGTGCTCCGCCAGCGTATCCCGTTGGCGCAGGCGGGTTACAATACCATTTTCACATATAAAAAAAAAAAAAAATAAGCAGCTACCACATATAGTTAATGAAAATTGAATTACAGTCTAGATAATTAATAAAGATATACCTTCCATCGCCCGACACCAATAAAGAATTGAGAAATCTATCTTCTCCAGCTTTGAATGTCGTAACGCAATCGCCTGGAAAAACAGAAGACAGCTTTACCAGAGGGAGACTTTGTACAAAAGTCGATTGCTTGGCCACCTCTGTTCCATTCGTGTTACAACCGTGAAGCAGTTGTGTTTGCATGGCTGTGTTTCGGTTTGAAGGATGGGATATGGCGTGAATTTACAGGGTACAGAGGAATAACACCTGAGTCCTCAGGAATGGCAACGCATGGGGGGTATCATGGGCGAAACAGTGTACTCTGTTATGTTTATGGTACTGCTCATGTCTATAGGCGACGGTTATCACTTTCCATCAGGTGGGCCGTCAGCTTGTTTGCTATTCTAAGTTGTATAAAACAAAAGATCTATATCAAACTTCTAATTTACGTTTGTCTGTCTAGTATCTCTGTCTGTTTAGTATTTACAATACAAGATGTATTGGCTTGATAATAAATGACAAAGACTTGTTTATTACTTATTGGTTTAATGATAGAGGCCGACATTAGTACAATGATGACGACATATATAGGTATATTAGCACTTATATGTATGTATTAAATGTGATATATCTTGTACCCAATAATAATTTTGCATGCTTTAGAATATAAGGCGAACATTTGTGCTTCACCTAATAGATCAATATCTGTAAAAAACAATGTAAAGAAATCTAAATCTAAAATCTATAATATTGAGAGAGGACGCGACACTAGTGATGCGCCGTTCCATTAGTGACGTGACCTTAACTACTTAAATCCACTTTGGGTTTGCTGGAAGAAAACTCTATCAGAGTTAAGCTCGCCTTTGTACATTTGTTTACCTCTGTCATATTTTTATAACTAATGTGTACAATAAAGTATTAAATAAATAAATAAATAAATAAATCTATATTCATAACACAAGAGAGCTAAAATAGTTGTGTGTGATATGAATGAAAATATACACAAACTTAATTAGCTTACCGCTTTCAATATTCATTAAGTTGACATACATCCTATTTCTAGAGAGCGCGACGAGGTGTTTGCTGTCGTGCAGTCCGTAGTATGGCATCTTTTGGTTCATAACTCCTTTTAATGCAACTAAGAATTTGCCCTGTAACAAGTTGTTAAATTATTTACATACTTACATACATATCTGTCACGCCTGTCTCCCATTAGGGTAGGCAGAAACAATGGAACGCCAAATGCTTCAAATCAAACAAACTTCTTTCGCTTCTTCCACATTCATCAATCTTTTCATACACGCTCGCCGGTTACGGGTACTTTTAATTTGGCCCTTCTTCAGCACGTCGCCTATTTGGTCGACATACGTCCGTCTAGGGCGGCCCCTATCGACATCTCCATTCATTCTTGCTCGATAAATCTCTTTCGTAATTCTTCTTTCATCCATTCTCTCCAAATGGCCGAACCAACGCAACATTCCTTTTTCGATTTTTGTTACTACATCGTCTTTCAGTCCACACTTGTCTCTAATCATAATTATTTACTTCGTTAATTATTAATTCGTTACGATTCGCTCGTTAGCGAATGCTCTTTAAAAGAAATAATAAATAAAGTTCATATATCGTGTGGTCCCGGCATAGAATACGCCATCCCTTCCTTTCCCGTGGGTGTCGTCGTTGGTTTTGGAATTAATGCACGAATCATAAATGATTTAGACCCATTACTTGTTTTAGACAATAGACTAATTAAAATAAATAACGGTTATTTATAAATATAAATTATAATAAATATATAATACCTGATCTAAATCGTACACCCTTAATTCCCTGCGGCATAGCACCACACATCTGTACTCGTCTATGGGGACGAGATTTATAGGATGCGTCACACCCACCAGCTTCCTCACTAGTTGGCACCTGAAAAATGCAATTTGTTTTTATACCAATGAGGTGGAAAACAAGCATACGGCCCACTTGATAGTAAGCGGTTACCGTAGCCTGCAATAGCAGGGGCATTGCGCGCGCGTTGCCGACCCTGAAGAAATCTCTTAACCCCTTTTTCGAAGATCTAGACTTTTGTACAAAGTCTACCAGAGGGAGACTTTGTACAAAAGTCGATTGCTTGGGTACCTCTGTCCCATTCGTGTTTCAACCGTGAAGCAGTTGTGTTTGCATGGCTGTGTTTCGGTTTGAAGGGTGGGATATAGCGTGAATTTACTGGGTACAGAGGAATAACACCTGAGTCCTCAGTAATGGCAACGCATGGGGGGTATCATGGGCGAAACAGTATACTCTGTTATGTCCATGGCACTGCTCATGTCTATAGACGATGACCACTTTCCATCAGGTGGGCCGTCAGCTTGTTTGCCATTCTAAGTTGTATACAAAAAAAATCTTTGAAGGCAATTATTCAACTGTATTTATTTGTCGTTTCGTAGTCTATAAAGAATAGTTATTTTAGCGAAACAGACTGTTGTTAGCTAATTATGGTATATTGTTCATAAAGATACATAAAGGCATATAATTATGTAATCTTAACATGCAGTACACACACCAACCCATACAGATATACCATACACACATACTTAACGCACACAAACACACTACACGCCGTCACCTAATGTTTTATAATATAAGCATTAGTAAAAAGGTACTGTTACTTCAGTTCACAATAAAGCAATGTAGTAAGAAAACGTGTCATTTGATTTTCTAAAACAGATCAAGCAAAATCATTTTTGAACCTTAAGTGCTACAACACAAACTATGTGTGGGGGGAAGGGATTGTTAGTAATGGGGATTAGCAACCCCATTGCTAGCAATAAACCCTATCAGGTGGATCTCCTCGCGGTTCCCCCTGGAAACCATCGTGATTGGTTTATTGTTGAATTTGTCACGATGGGCTAACTGACCTGCTTCACCCTCATCTATCATCCCTCACTGGTGCCCCGCCAGCGTATACCAATAGCGCAGGCGGGGCTACCATTCCATTATCATCCATTAAAAAAAAACACACACACTATATAGTTTAACCAGTCCCTTTAGACCAGTGTTTCCCAACCTTTTTTGTGCCATACCCCACTTGAACATTCCTAAAATTTTTATGCCCCCATACATAATTTTTTCCGACAAAGTTTACTTGACGACTCTAATTGCCTAGTTGATATTTTGGTAACGTCAAACGAAATTATACCTAATAAATATTTACAGCATTTTTTTTTTATTTACTTTTTTTATTAAATTTGTCACCGATATCTTCTCGTAGCATTGCATTTAAATGGCTCGGAGCAAGAGGGTTAAAATAGCTTCGAGTCCATTTTTTAATTGCCCCCCCCCCCTTTGACTATCAATTTGCTCCCCTGTGGGGCTTGGGTCCCACGTTGGGAAACACCGCTTTAGACAAATGACAAAGGAATCTATAATGTTGATTAGTGCTCAAATGTTAAAGAACAGGACACCGGACACTACCATCTTACTGTATCTGGTAGCAGTTACTAGAGCTAATGAATTATTTGGGTAGATTTGTTTGCTACTTATTTAGAAGGACATGGTATGAGAATCCAATATAATACGTACTTGGTGACATCCCAAACGCATATCTCCTCTCGCTCCGTGGAAATCGTCGCCACAAACTTCCCTCTCGTGTCGAATCGTACAATCAGATCGTACGTCTTACTATCAAACCCTTCCACCATAGACAAGTCTCTTTTTTCTTTATTCTCGACGATTTTGTAGAAGCCCTCGTTTGCGGGATAGAATGTTGGCACTGGTGGCTCCCATATCTCTTTGGACCAGTTCTGAACGATCTCACTTTTGATTGGTATCCCTTCTCTTTGTCGTTTCTCCATCGTCGTTCGCAGAAGACCGTAAAATTGTCTATGGTCGTAGTCCAAAGCGTACGAGTGTACTTCGAACACCTCTTTGAGTAACTGTATATGTTCCGGTTGAGGGTCTATGTGGACTAAGTCCAGATCTTCGAGGAAGTGGCTGCAGTCTGTGGCGGCTAATTTGTCGTATACGTAAGATAAGTCCGTGAAGTAAGGCTGGTTGGCGAATGTTTCTGGTTCGTCCTTGTACAGGTGATAGTGTTGATAGGGTATCTCGTCTAGTTTCCGAGTGTTGTAACTGAAATTAAAGAATAATTTGGGTACTAAATGAAAATAGAAATGAGAACTGTGTGCGAGTGATCCACCGTCCTTACGTATAAGGATAGAAGTGACGCGTAATTTTTTTTATTGTTCTTAAGACTTAATTGTGCTAGTACGTATGTATAAAATATAATATAACGCTCGAGGTAAGGCGAAAGTGCAATTTGATGATGTACTATTATCGGTTGCTCAACGGCGGAATAGACAATCCTGCAACTCTTAGCCGTTGTTCTTTGTACGCACCTCAACGCTGGATGCGATTGCGTGCTTATCGACTACTATCGGCACCGCCGGTTCGCACTTGTACTGCTCAGTTTGCTCCCACTTATCAAGTTATTTCTCTGCTCAATTCTCTGATTGCTCAGCAGCCAGATATTGACATATTTAATTACAAAATAAATATATTTTTAAAATGTTGTACAAAATTTGTAAGTTTGTAAAATAAAACTATGGCTCACTGCACATTTTGGGAAACTGTAAGTGTGGTGAGTAATTTTCTAATAAATAAATAAATAAATAAATAACACGTACCATTCTTCAGAAAATTTGTTCTCCTGCGATATCAGACGTCCCGCCATTTTAGGATCATTTTCTTTATACCACACACCCTGAAACGATAAACCTTATATTGTAATTATACATCTTATAATTTGAATTTTCAGAAATATTATAAAATCGATTTTGAGTTTAATAAATAAGAATCTGCGTAGATGTTCGCAGTCGGCGAGGTAGCGGTCGCGCGCGTGCTGCGCGGGCGGCCGGTCGGCCAGTGGGAGCTACGCTAGCAGTAGTGCGAGCGGCCGTACCTCGTAGTAGTGCAGCAGGGCGCGGCGCACGCGCGGCTCGCAGTCGGCGAGGTAGCGGTCGCGCGCGTGCTGCGCGGGCGGCCGGTCGGCCAGTGGGAGCTACGCTAGCAGTAGTGCGAGCGGCCGTACCTCGTAGTAGTGCAGCAGGGCGCGGCGCACGCGCGGCTCGCAGTCGGCGAGGTAGCGGTCGCGCGCGTGCTGCGCGGGCGGCCGGTCGGCCAGTGGGAGCTACGCTAGCAGTAGTGCGAGCGGCCGTACCTCGTAGTAGTGCAGCAGGGCGCGGCGCACGCGCGGCTCGCAGTCGGCGAGGTAGCGGTCGCGCGCGTGCTGCGCGGGCGGCCGGTCGGCCAGTGGGAGCTACGCTAGCAGTAGTGCGAGCGGCCGTACCTCGTAGTAGTGCAGCAGGGCGCGGCGCACGCGCGGCTCGCAGTCGGCGAGGTAGCGGTCGCGCGCGTGCTGCGCGGGCGGCCGGTCGGCCAGTGGGAGCTACGCTAGCAGTAGTGCGAGCGGCCGTACCTCGTAGTAGTGCAGCAGGGCGCGGCGCACGCGCGGCTCGCAGTCGGCGAGGTAGCGGTCGCGCGCGTGCTGCGCGGGCGGCCGGTCGGCCAGTGGGAGCTACGCTAGCAGTAGTGCGAGCGGCCGTACCTCGTAGTAGTGCAGCAGGGCGCGGCGCACGCGCGGCTCGCAGTCGGCGAGGTAGCGGTCGCGCGCGTGCTGCGCGGGCGGCCGGTCGGCCAGTGGGAGCTACGCTAGCAGTAGTGCGAGCGGCCGTACCTCGTAGTAGTGCAGCAGGGCGCGGCGCACGCGCGGCTCGCAGTCGGCGAGGTAGCGGTCGCGCGCGTGCTGCGCGGGTGGCCGGTCGGCCAGTGGGAGCTACGCTAGCAGTAGTGCGAGCGGCCGTACCTCGTAGTAGTGCAGCAGGGCGCGGCGCACGCGCGGCTCGCAGTCGGCGAGGTAGCGGTCGCGCGCGTGCTGCGCGGGCGGCCGGTCGGCCAGTGGGAGCTACGCTAGCAGTAGTGCGAGCGGCCGTACCTCGTAGTAGTGCAGCAGGGCGCGGCGCACGCGCGGCTCGCAGTCGGCGAGGTAGCGGTCGCGCGCGTGCTGCGCGGGCGGCCGGTCGGCCAGTGGGAGCTACGCTAGCAGTAGTGCGAGCGGCCGTACCTCGTAGTAGTGCAGCAGGGCGCGGCGCACGCGCGGCTCGCAGTCGGCGAGGTAGCGGTCGCGCGCGTGCTGCGCGGGCGGCCGGTCGGCCAGTGGGAGCTACGCTAGCAGTAGTGCGAGCGGCCGTACCTCGTAGTAGTGCAGCAGGGCGCGGCGCACGCGCGGCTCGCAGTCGGCGAGGTAGCGGTCGCGCGCGTGCTGCGCGGGCGGCCGGTCGGCCAGTGGGAGCTACGCTAGCAGTAGTGCGAGCGGCCGTACCTCGTAGTAGTGCAGCAGGGCGCGGCGCACGCGCGGCTCGCAGTCGGCGAGGTAGCGGTCGCGCGCGTGCTGCGCGGGCGGCCGGTCGGCCAGTGGGAGCTACGCTAGCAGTAGTGCGAGCGGCCGTACCTCGTAGTAGTGCAGCAGGGCGCGGCGCACGCGCGGCTCGCAGTCGGCGAGGTAGCGGTCGCGCGCGTGCTGCGCGGGCGGCCGGTCGGCCAGTGGGAGCTACGCTAGCAGTAGTGCGAGCGGCCGTACCTCGTAGTAGTGCAGCAGGGCGCGGCGCACGCGCGGCTCGCAGTCGGCGAGGTAGCGGTCGCGCGCGTGCTGCGCGGGCGGCCGGTCGGCCAGTGGGAGCTACGCTAGCAGTAGTGCGAGCGGCCGTACCTCGTAGTAGTGCAGCAGGGCGCGGCGCACGCGCGGCTCGCAGTCGGCGAGGTAGCGGTCGCGCGCGTGCTGCGCGAGCGCCTGGTCGCGCCAGCGCGCGGCGCCGCCGGCCCCCCAGCGCAGCCAGGGCGCCAGCAGCGCCGCCAGCTGCGGCCAGAACAGCGACGCCGGCGCCCACGGCACTGCGCCGCCCGCCGCCGGTCACCACACGTGTTAGTTTAAACGATACGCACGAGCGCCGCGCCGCCGTGTACAAACGGTGCGGTTTTCACACACCGCTGTATGCGCAGCGGCTTCCGCGGTAAAACACGGTTAATACATTTGTGTGTGAAAACCACGGAGCATTTGCAACGGTGACGTGGCTCGTGCCTTGATCTAGATATATTTTTTTATATATTGTCTTATATAACGCACCTACTGTGTATTTTAAGTAGAACTTTTTATATGCCAATGTTACCAAAAGATTAGAAAGTTGATGCAGCATAATATTTTCGAAAAGGTGCAAGAGTCTTAGTTTTAGTATTAAGAAATACAAATCTGATGCATTATTTCCATACATCTACATACTTATTTTCAATAGAATACCCCTAAAAATACATGTGCATGATACAATACACATACATAATTTCCTATCTTCGCTTCTTTATTCCTTTTAAATTTTTCTTCGTTTAATTTTAAGATGTTATATTACACTAAAAATTGAATGAAAATAACAAGAACTTTATTAAAATAGTTATTTAACAAACTTACAATATGTTTCTTCGCTTCTAAATAGTTCATCATGTGCTAACATATCTAATATTTCCGTGTCATCTAGTCCTCTCCGTGATGCTGTCAGTAAGGCTAAACAGTTCTTCACTCTCTCAGCTCCAAGTGCCGCTTCTGTCGTTATTAGGATTTGGGTCAGTTGACCTTCCAGGTCCTCACAGATGACTAGTTCAGGTGCTGTTTCAGGTTCAGACTGCTCAGTGAAGGTCTCGGCCGAGAGTGATATTTGCCAAGCTAAGATCTGGAATTGAGAATTATTAATGGAAATATTTATTGAACTTGCATTATATTTTACCATAACTATAACGATAAAATAGATTGGTGTTTTTTGTGAAAAAGAAAGGTAATTGGAAATAGTGTTGTGTAAATTAAAATTTGAAGCGAGTAAAATATTTTCTTTGATATTAAAAAAACCCAGTTTGATTATGTTGAATTTATTTCCATAAATCAAATATAAAATAATATTATAAATAATAACATTTGTTCATATGTAGTCTCATAGAAATCCGACGATAATGTTTGGTTCCAAGTATTCTGAACCAATTTCATTTACTACTTAAAGTACTTGCCTTGGCGTAAAGTGGTAGGGTACATTTTTGTACAGCTTTCACTGCAGCTTCAGGTGGCGATGCTGCTCCCGTCTTGCTGTAAGTAGCGGCACAAGCAGTAAGAACTGCTTTGGCCTCTTCGGGTCCTACCGGAGGAGCTCGCACTACTTTTGGTCCATCTTCAGACGAGAGCACTGCCATGATTGCAGAACTAGATGGTTCGTCGGTTTCTAAAATGTGTGAGAATGATAATATAAATAAAATCATGTAGAATATAGATGCTGATTTTGAGAAACTAGATTGACAATTTGATGTTATAAATACCAAAAAGCTGATCCAATATAAAAATAATTCTTTGTTATAAAATAGAAAATTAAACCTGAAATTTTATTCAGTCTGAAGCAATTTGTAGTAAAGAATAAAAAAGAATAAATAAAACCACTGAAAAATGTTGAAGAGCATACAATTATTTCTTTTAAAAGAACTTTCATACAATTATTTTTAAAATTAGGCAATAATTTTTTCTATACATTTATGTAGGTGTATTTTGATTGAAACATAATTTGTTTTTTGTTTCAATGAATAAAGGGCTTGACTCGCCTAGTTCTAGTTTCGCATACAAACCTTCAGTAACAGTGACAATCATTTTGACATTATCAGGTAGCCGCGAAGGTAGCCAGCGTGCGCCTCTCAACGCATCCGCTCCAACCACCGCTAATAGAACTGGTCGTGCGCGCCCCAAAGCTGATAATAAACGCGTCAGCGTAGCTGACAGAGATGGTACATCCTGAAAATTAGATAATGTGGCTTCATTACTTATTATATTCATTAATCAGTCTACTACAGAAACTTTTTAATTTAATACATGTGCGTGGATACATAATTTATCATTGATTTGAATAAAGCGTTTAAACAAGTCATTTAGGTTTATTTGTGTTAAAAAATAACATTAATTTACTAATATATCTAATAGATAGTGTAATATAATTGCATATTTAGAACGAATATATAAAGTAAACAATCGTATTTAAGTGTAATCAAGCAAATAACATAATAAGGTTTGGAGTATCTCAAGGACTACATCTCGGCCCCCAACTACTATAATATAGTAAATAATGCAAAATAACTGTATTTTTTGTTTATATATTATTTAAAGTTTATATTGTTTGTTATATTAATATATTACTTACATTACGTCCCCTGTATACGGTGCCTGTATGCAAAACGTGACATTGGTCCACAATAGATTTTAGCAATAAATGCGAGCTACTTGATTGTGAGGTTAAACCCACGAATCTGCAAAAAAATATGCATTGTTTTAGAAACATTATTAAATGCTCCACATTACGTATATATGTATGTGTTCAATTTCAAGATAAGCTAGATAGAGTAGCGGATAGGTTTTGCATCACTGACCTGATGATGAGCGCGAGGTCCTGCTGGCAGGCGGGCGCGAGGCTGGCCGCTCGTGCCACTAGTGTGGCTTTACCGCAGCCAGCGCCTCCTATTAGCGCCAGCGGCACATTGCTATCCCCCGTCATGTATCTGTCACATTATATAGATTATATTATTGTCTATATTTTTAACTATATATATATATATATATATATATATATATATATATATATATAACTAATTATAATTATTGTTAAACCTCTTGCTGAATCATTAGAACATAGATTAATGGCATTTTACTTTTTACGACCACTAATTAGCCATAAACAAATATGGCAGAAAAGCAGAAATATAAGTACATTCTCAATTTTTTTTTCTTAGTAAAGAAGTTATGTTTATATACTAGTCGAGTTCATGACTTCGTCCCTCTAGTGATTGAAAATGTTTGCAAAATATTTGTTTACAATATTTTAATTTTTTTAAATGGTCATCATCATCATCATCATATCAGCCTTTAACTGTTCACTTCTAAACATAAGCCTTCTCCTTGGGGCGTTCTGTCAGTAGTTGCTACGCTTGGCGGGCGGATTGGCAATCGCACTTAGGCTTTAGAGATATTTTAGGAAGGACGCCGCTACCTATCCCTCGCCCTCCCATAGTCGACTCTTACGACATCCACGGGAAAGGAAGGGGAAGCCTATTCTATGCCGGGTCCACACGATTATTAGGACTACATATTTTTAAAATTGCATAGGCTACTTATCAATATGGTTAATTAATATTCCTGTTATAAAAATAAAATTGCGGGTAATCCCGTTTTTTTTTTGATAATTTATTCAATAATTGATACCTGCTGGGTTCATTATTTGACCACTTCTTAGCAAAATGTATACAAAGGATATCTTGTGTTATGAGATAACAGGCAACGAACAGACCCTAGCCAATACCGAAAAGTTCATATCCAAAATTGGCCCGACTGGGAACCAACAAGGGATCTCATTTACGCAGAACATCGTGCCTACTATTGCGCCACAAAGGTCCTCATTTATAAAGCTAACTCTTCTTTGTTCTAAATATATATTTTTTTAAAGTTTCGTTAACAAGAATCGTGTTCTTTATACGATAAAATGACAAACAAACTCACGTTTTGAGCTCATTCAGTGTGATCTCCCTGTTGGACGTGCACTGCGCTGCCTTTTGACAAAACGACAGATGCTCGTTGATTTCGTCGAATAAACTGCCATGAAAGAATGGTATTATTTATTTATGTCTCCTCACAAACAACTTAAATTTACACATAGGTATTTAGGATAAGATAAAATTAAAATAATATGGAACTCTGCTATTTATTTATGTATTTATTTATTAGAAACCAACGGCGTTACAGTTAATATTTACAGACTAGTATTTAAAATATTAAGGCTAATAACAGGTTTCTTATTTTTATAAAAGTACAAAATTGGTTTGCGCAAAAAAAGAAAAGTACAATAAAGCACACACACATACACTCACACCATGCAAATACAATCACACCGACCCTAAGATTTTACTTAATTACCTAATTAACCTATTGATTCATTGATTCATAGTTCTTACAACAAGCTTCTTAAATGTCAATTTAGATTGAAAGAATAGATCCACGTCACTAAATTCATTATTATATACTCGAGGAATTATATGCTATGAGGAGCAGGTGTCTGTAATAAATTAAAACCTGTAGTTTAGATGAATTTTATAAAAATTTATAGAAATTTCGTATGTTATACCTGGTAGGTATGCCATTATATCCGGCGGGCACTTCGTTCTCGGCGATGAGCGTATCGAGCAGCGCGTCGAGCCGCTCGCCGAGCGCCGAGCGGACGCCCTCCGTGTACTCGTCCTCGCCGCCGGGCGCGGACCGGCCACGGATACTGGCGCGGATTATGTTCCTCTCGCTCAGGTGGAGCTGTGCAGAGGGCGGAATGAGAAGACTGGAGACTTGAAAAATATTCATTAGGAGGAGCATTCCTGGTAGTTACGACACTTAGCCTCGTGGAATTAACTGAGAAGATAGAGTATCAGATTTCTGGTAGACACATACCTTAAGGTCTTTCTGGAGGTTGTTGAGCCGTCGCTGCAGCTCATGGTGATGGGCGGCGGAGGCATCAGCACCTTCCGGCGGCGGGTCCGCTGTAGCGCCCGCGCGGCACACCCACACGCAGCGTCGTGCTGCTTCCACACTCAGCAACACCGTGTGTTGCACCTCCTGCATACGATACCATAAGATTATATTTCGTCATCCAGGAGAAGATTGTTAAGGATTTTTTTTCAAGCATAACCTCACCTGCACTGCCGATAATATACATTTGCAAAATTTTATTACAATTGGCTTGAGCGGTTTTGCAGAGTAGTCTTAACGAATATTGTGATAAGAGATTTTTGTGCATTAATATGTACGGATATAACCATAACCTGAGGTATAATAATTAAAGTTTAAAATCAGTGTATACATAAACATTTTTTTTACAACATGAAACCACATCGTCCTAAGAGAACACAGGAACAATATGAATAAATATACATAAATGCGATCAACCGAAAAAAGATTATATGTTTCTCAATGATTGGCTGCATTATTCCGGTTCATTATTTTTTAAAGTAATCAAATTGCTCTTACAAATTACTGTATTTGCTGTCTCGATCTAGATATTATTTATTTAAAATTACTACTAAATAGCAATACTGATCACCAAAAAAGAATCATTAATAGTGTGTTTTAAATAAACTTTTCCCTTGTTTTATGATCCTTCGAGCCGGATAGCTTAAAAATAAGTATTGCTCACTGACCTGCTCCACAACGGTGGTGAGGTAAGCATCACAAGCCTCTTGCGGTAGCGTTCTGACCAGGACATTGAGGGTTTTGGCCATCTCGCGACGCCAGCGCGCTGGTGCCCCTCTCACCAACCGATAGCACGGTGGAGTTGTGCTTGCATCTAGACTGTACCTGGGAAGTCAATTTTGATTATTAATAATAAAAAAAAATCATTGCATATACTCTTATCTTAATAGTGTTACGTAGCGAGAAGGTTTGGGTACCAAGGGGTGAATTAATGCAATGAAATCAAAGAAATACAATTTATTTTAAGGCTTACTTCAGAAACGATTACGATGTTACGAGACATCAATTAAACAGCCTACCTACTACATCTCTATACGTGTTTAAAAATGGCCAGAATTTTTATCGTATCACCAATGAGACTGATTATAATTGCTCCTCTCTATCTATAGGTTGGCTGGAAGAGATTGCTCTTAGCGATATTATGTCGCTTTTAGGAATAGCGATAAAGTCACCCGTTGTTTTCTCAGTGTGATCTTTTTTTTTTTTCAAGATTCAAGATTTATTTATTTGTAAAACATGCGTATAAATACATGTAGATGTTGACAATATAATAACGTTCGACATATTTAGCCTGTACGGCATACAAAAATATGTGGTTACACAGATAGTTCACATTATACATCAAGTCCATTTTATACCATTAATCGCCATCACATTCCAATTTTAAATACATTTAAATAAATAATAATTGTCAGGCAAGAATAAAAGAACGATGTTACAATGATGTTAATAAATATAAGTAAATATTCGTTTTTATCATTAAAGAATTCACATACATTATAATAACATTTATCAATTAAGATTTTTTTTAATTTTTACTTAAATACATTAGTTGGTGCATCCTTTATAGATTTTAGTATGTTATTATAGATTTTTGGTGCCATACATAATATACTATCGTGCATAAGTTTTTTCTGTAATTGTTTGTATTTATAATAAGTTTGTTACTGTAATCAGAGAGAGGAGGAGAGGAAACAATAAATAGTATCGATCTATCTATCTATTGCTCATAATAACATTGATAAAAGAACCTCTCAAGATTTGTTTTAGTTTCTATTGGAATGGATATTTTAGTAATTTAGTAGGAGGAGTCTTAGGAGCATTACTGTGTTCGTCATTTTATGATGTAAATGGCATTGTTCAAGTCTCTAGTCGACGGTTACCACCTTCCATCAGATGGTAGACACATTTTGATGGTTACAATTTGCCTTTTAAACTTTGCAAAAATTTTCAATTACCGATTACGAAGATGGTATTTACCATTTATTTAAGAGTGCTTTATCATTTTCGTCTTCAGCGGCTTCGAGTGCGGCCTTAAAGTCTGCACACTCCAGTGTGTGAGGCAACAGTGGCGTGCCCAGTCCCGAGTTCAGGAACAGTACGGGCACCACAGCACCGAGTTCTGATTGACCTGTAATATAACGCTTTTTATATCAACCTGTTAAATAACTTATATTGGGAGAAACGGATTATTAGTAATGAGGTCAAATAGCCCCATTACTAGCAGAATATAGTAACATATATACCTGACAGGTCGACCTCCACGTGGTTTCCCCTGGAAGTCATCGTGGCTAATTCTAGTTGAATTCGTCAGGATGGGCTAACTGATCTGCTTTCATCCTCATCAGTCATCTAGCACTTGTGCCCCGCTAGTGTATACCGATAGTGCAGACGGGGTTACCATACCATTATCATCCATTTAAAAAAATAACCTACATTATGGCGCGGGGGGGGGGGGGCGATAGAGACATCGGTAATAATAGGGTCCAATAAAAATGATAGCAACATACTTTATGAGGTCGATTAAGTAACTTAACTCCAGCCAATGTAATTACGTGGCCAAAGATACGCTGAATGTGATGCCAGCCTTAAGAAAATTAACGAATGAATGGTGGTAATTAGCCATTTCCAGCAAATTATCTATGTTTAAATCAAGTCCCTTGCTGAATAAGCACAATCAACCAATCGGGTGCTGAAGGTACCCTTACACATGACTTTTACTTTATCGATTAATATTTAAAGCAATGCATGGTCATGAAGATTACTGTATATTCTGAGGTTTCCTTTATGCTCTTCATGTTTACAGGGCATGATTTCCATCAAGATTAATTTAAATTGGATAAAACATATTCTATCGTCTTATTAACAAAGCTATCAGGTATAGGTACAGGTAGTTGTTACAACTAGAATTCGCGTGAAGGTATTTTACCAGAGGGAGACTTTGTACAATTGTCGTTTGCTTGGGCGCCTCTGTCTCATTCGTGTTTCTATCGTGAAGCAGTTGTGTTTGCATGGCTGTGTTTCGGTTTGAAGGGTGGGATATGGCAGTGAATTTACAGGGTATAGAGTAATAACACCTGAGTCTTCAGGAATGGCAACGCATGGTGGGTATCATGGGCGAAACAGTTTACTCTGTTATGTCCATGGTACTGCTCATGTCTATAGGCGACGGTTATCGCTTGCCATCAGGTGGGTCGTCAGTTTGTTTGCCATTGTAAGTTGTATAAATAAAAAAGTATTTCTTTCAGATATTAGAACTTTCAAGGCCACTTTAGTTGTACTTTTGTAGCACGAAAGATTCTGATACGGCCTTTTTTTATGGATGACAAATGGAATGGTAACCCCGCCTGTGCTATCGGTATACACTGGCGGAGCACCAGTGAGGGATAATTAGTGAGGATGAAAAGACAGGTCAGTTAGCCCATTGTGACAAATTTAATGACGATTTAATTCAGTCACGATGGTTTCCAGGGGGAACTGCGTGGAGGTCGACCTGATAAGGTATATTGACAGCGTCTTATGTGGCTTATTGTACGACGGCATTACGGGCCCTGGGTAGATGTTTCTTGAGCTGGTCACGAGCAAAGGGAAAGAGAGTTAGTAATGGGATCTAATAGTCCCAATGCTAGCAATATACCCTATCAGTTTGACCTCCGAACGATTTCCTCTGGGAATCACTGTACTTCATTTCTGGTGTATTCGTCATGATGAGAGAACTGACCTTAGTTCATCCTCACCTGTAATTACTCACTTATCATGCTGTACGTTGATAGTGCAGGCGGGGTTACCTTCTCGTCTTCGTCTAATAAAAAAGTACCCACAAGCTAGCTCCACATTGGTAGCGCAGGTGAAATTACCATCCTGTTATCATCCAAGTTTCATAGCTAACAATATATCCTGGCAAATCGACCTTCACGTGGTCCATTCTGGATACCATCGTGCTGAATTCCAGGTATATTTATCATGATGGGCTAACTGATCTACTGTCGATTATGCCAGCTTGACTCGCCTTTTCATTCCCACCCATCATTCCTCACTGGTACCCGCCAGCGTATACCGTTAGCGCAGGCGGGGTTACTATTTCATTATTATACATTAGCAGAAAAAAGTACTCACGAGCTAGCTCTGCAATACACAATACAGGGAACCGATGATCCCGCTGCTGTTCGAGCGGTGACCGCCAATGTAAGTCGGCGACGTGGATGCGCCATCCACGCCGCCGGGCGCGAACTCTCAGCCGAGCAGCCGCACCACATTGAAGCGCACCTTTTTCGGCACAGCAATCTGGGAAATACAAGAAGTACTACAAAGTTACAAAATCCTAGATTCTCATCAAATTTAACATCGTCATCATGATTATTGTTCCATAAATGGTGATGCAGTGTGGTCTTGACGTAGAACGAGCCACCTCTCCCTTTCTCGTAGGTTTCGTAAGAGGCAACTAAATAAATTTACTGGTTGAGGGATGGGCAGTAACGTTCTTCTTAAAATATCACCAGGCCTAACAGCGATTGGTTGATTTTTTTTATGCCACTGAGATGGCAAACAAGCATACGGCCCACCTGATGGTAAGTGGTTACTGTAGCCTATGAACGCCTGCAATACCAGAAGTATTAGGCGCGCGTTGCCGACCCTGAAGAAACCTCTTTACCACCCATTTGAAGAACTCCATGCTGTAGTCTCTTGGGAATACCTTCTTCATAAGAGAAAGATACTAGCCTACCATTAGCATGTTGGTCAGTCCCCTAAGATTAGAGAATGTTGAAGGTTACCTTGTGAGTCAGCAGCACACACGTACACGATCATCGCCCGCCGTCGCCGGGCGCGTTGGCTGGGCAGCCGGCCGAGGAGGTAGGACCGGTGCTCGTCCGGCAGCGCCGCCACGTTGGCCGGCATCGGTGGACCCTCCACATCCTCGCGGGGGGAAGCGCACGCCACCGGCGACGACAGCGAGATAGAATCTGACGGGGTAACAATATACGAATATTTTATACATGTAAAGTTTTATGACCACTTTTTCGTTTTGACATTTAGAAGTTTGAATATTTATTAGGAATTTAATTGAAATGAAATGAAATTAGTTTATTTGCATTAAACAGTCTTAAAATTATTACAAAAGCCACGTGATACTATTTTGGCACCTGTTTAATTGCCTTAAGCGTAGGCATGCAAATATTTACATTTTATAACAAAAGTGAATAACAAAATTGTGATTTAAATATATCATTTAAATTGTCATTACATATTAAAAGTCTTAAAATTAGTACAGACATAAAGGGTATCCCATTACTACTATTATAAATGAGAAAGTTTGTCAAGATGAATGGATGTTTGTTACTCTTTTGTGCAAAAACTACTGGACGGGTTTGAATAAAATTCGTCATATGGATAGATTTATATCCTAGGATATTTTATATACGTTCACGCAAGTGAAATAGGGGGAAGCAGCTAATAAATTATATTTTCTCAATTGTATAGGACACACAGGCATTGTTTACATTCGTATTAATCGAAACAACTATTGTTGATTATTGGCTTATATTTGATAAACATTTGAATTCAAAAGAACCAAATTTTATCATGGGGACAATATAGTTTAGAAAATATTAATTCATCTGTGTGGTCCCAGCATAGAATGAGCCACTCGTTTCTTTCTCATGGGTGTTGTAAGAGGTGACCAAGGAAACTTAATGTTCAAGGGATGGGCAACAATGTTCCTCTTAGGACACGAAAAGCCTGATTACAGTTGCCAACTCGTTTGCCAAACGTGGAAACTATTAGGCAAAACCCCCTAAGAGGTAGACCTATGTTTAGCAGTGGACAGTCAATGACTAATATAATGATCATGATGATACCTAGCTCAGAAAGATATATCTAAACAAAATTGGTGATGAATATGTAAAGCCAATTATATCAGAACTGTCTTTAAGACTAGTGTAAAAGTAATGGCGTCGATTGCAAAAAGAATTATTAAAATCTACTAAAGAAAAAAAATACAAACGAATCGAGGACCCTTCAGAAGTGGCTTGATCTCTGTGAAATATCATCAGAATTGATACGAAGATGGCGAGTGACATAAGCCGTGGTGGTCTACGAACAATGAGTTATTGTTACCGGCCAGTGACAAATGGACGGAGGCACATGATATTGGGCGTTCCGTTTCACGTTTTACTTCTGAAACGTTGAAACGGAAACCGTTTCGGTTCTGAATGAATAATAAGGGTAATTTAACATCGACATAGCTATAAGAGTCTTTCAGTATCGACACCCTAGCTATAAGTACACTTTCCCTTGCCTATCTGTGAGAGGCAATCTCTAAATATTTTTAAGAGTAGACTTGAAGAACATCTATCTTCATGGTAGTATATATATATATATATATATATATATATCAAGGTCGAGTTAGTAGAGGAAAGTATATTCGACGGTTAAAGGTCAATAACTCCTCACCAATATCTCCTTAACAACAGATTATCTATAATTATTATAGGTATCACTCTTTGAAATCAACATCCAGCAGCAGTATTTCCGAACCGATACGACGACATAACCTTCAAGAGAAGAGCATATTCCTTTTTAAAACGACGGCAGCACACCTGCAATATCATTGGTGTTGTAAGTGACCATAGGCGGCGGTAGTCACTTACCATCAGGTGAGCTGCATACTCGTTTGCCCCTTTGTTGTAAAAAAAAGGTATCTATGCCGTGTGGCCCCAGCATAGATTAATTAGGCCATCCCTTCCTTTCCCGTGGATGTCGTAAGAGGCGCCTAAGAGAACTTAATAGTTGAGGAATGGGCAGCACCATTCCTCTTCAAACATCACCAAAGCCTAACTGCATTGCTTGCTAAATCTGGCAACTACTGACCAACGCCCTTTTATGGGGGAGGCCTAAATTAATTAATTTATATTTAATTAAGGTGAGTTTAGGTACTTGATGCTTGATGTTGGGTGCTTGAATACAAAATGTGTGAAATCATTGTAATACTACCATTTTATTTTATTTATTTATTTATTCTTTATTGACCACATTACAAAAAAATGTCTGGTACAAAAGGCGGACTTAATACTATATAGCATTCTCTCCCAGTCAACCTTTGGCAAAACAGAAATTTTATTATGCGGTGAAAAAAATTACAACACATACAATAGAGAACTACTACACATTATGATTATATAAATATACATACATGAATACATTAAACAAATATTACATAAATATACAAATATGTAATAAAAATACCTACATACTTATAGGTTATATACGACAACACAAATATATATAACTTATTATACCACATTTTTAGCAATAAAATTCATTCATTCATACCGATTCAAGCGGGCATAGTCGCACTCATGGCGGTTAGTAGTTAATTATTATTAAAGACTTAGTCATTTTTGCTTTAGTTTACTATTTATTTATTTAATTAAATTTTATCGACCAATAAAATGTGAAATAAAAGGCGGACTTAATGCTACAGACATTCTCTACCACCTTAAGGATCTATCTGACGTATTTGCAAATATTTAGGATACTTAAGATGTTATACTGTATTGTTTAGGATATTAACTTAACAAACAGCTGGACACGGGATTTTTATATATTATGATATGAAATGTATAGACACCTGAGACGCTGGAGCCAACCGGCCTTGGTCCCTTGAGCTGAGGCTTCTTGTCCTTGATGGAGGGGGTGGGCTCGAGTAGGTGGTGCGCCGGCGGCGGCGGCTGCTCCGCGCTCGCGTCCACCGATGGCTTGGTGACGCGGTACGAGGGCGACCTGCGTGCACAACAGTTTGATCTACGCTATATTAATATGGTCAATTGAACAAGTAACGCTATATTAGTATGTTCAATTAAATAAGTAACGCTATATTAATACCTATGTTCAAATAAATAAGTAACGCTATATTAATATGTTCAAATAAATACGTAACGCTATATTAATATGTTCAAATAAATAAGTAACGCTATATTAATATGTTTAAATAAATAAGTAACGCTATATTAATATGTTCAAATAAATAAGTAACGCTACATTAATATGTTCAAATAAATAAATAACGCTACATTAATATGTTCAAATAAATAAGTAACGCTACATTAATATGTTCAAATAAATAAGTAACGCTACATTAATATGTTCAAATAAATAAGTAAGGCTACATTAATATGTTCAAATAAATAAGTAACACTACATTAATATGTACAAATAAATAAGTAACGCTACATTAATATGTTCAAATAAATAAGTAACGCTATATTAATATGTTCAAATAAATAAGTAACGCTACATTAATATGTTCAAATAAATAAATACCGCTACATTAATATGTTCAAATAAATAAGTAACGCTACATTAATATGTTCAAATAAACAAGTAACCCTATATTAATATGTTTAATTAAACAAGTAGTGTTATATTAATATGTTCAAATAAATAAGTAACGCTATATTAATATGGTCTATTAAACAAGTAACGCTATAATTATTATAGAACAAAATCTATATAACTGAGAGAAAACCGTTTTGATTATAAAAAATCATCGACATCGGTTCAGAACATGAGAATATATTAATAAATTCACATACATTAATTAACATACAAAAAATATTAAAATTTACATGAAAACGTATCTAATTGAGATATTTCTACTTTTTAAGTGTTTAAGGAACTTATGCAATTAACACACACACACACACACACACACACACACACACACACACACACACACACACACACACACACACACACACACACACACACGCACACGCACACGCACACACGCACACGCACACACACGCACACACACGCAGAGAGATACAAATCAGACAAAAACTTATAATACTCCTTTTTTACGTTAGGGGTAAAAAACACGTAGTCATACTACGCAGTCGTAGACATTCGTAGCAGAAGCTACAGGTCCGTGCCGGAAAGTCTACGCCGTAGCGCGCGTAGCCGTAAATTTACGAATGGCGTCACACATTAAGAATACGTAGAATACAATAAATTGATTCAGTAATTTGAATACCAATAAAGGCCGACCGAACTTCGATTTTCAGTGTACCTTAGGGACGAGATAGGGTTGGCACTTCATTTTAAGAGAATGCGAAAACCAATATAACCTTATTATGGAAAACAAACGAAAATATTTGTTTTGTTTCTAATCTTACAAAAGATTAACTTCAATTTTAACCCGTAGATTTTTAATTAATTACTCTGAGCTCTTGAGGGTGAGGAAATCCGTATTGTAATAAGTACATTAATGTATTGTAATAATAAATAAACAATAATTTCGAACCAGTTTTGATAATATTAAAAGTTACTTTATATATAGGTTTTTTTTTTATACAACTTAGAATGGCAACCAAGCTGACGGCCCACCTGATGGAAAGTGGTAACCGTCACCTATACACATGAGCAGTATACAGGACATAACAGAGTTTACTGTTTCGCCCATGATACCCCCCATGCGTTGCCATTCCTGAGAACTCAGGTGTTATTCCTCTGTACCCTATAAATTCACGCCATATCCCACCCTTCAAACCGAAACACAGCCATGCAAACACAACTGCTTCACGGTTGAAACACGAATGGGACAGAGGTATACAAGCAATCGACTTTTGTACAAAGTCTCCCTCTGGTAATGTACATGTATTTGTATTATTGTTTAACTTGTAACAACAAAAAGTGCATAAATAAATTAATTAATTTATAAAGAGTTTTCATTAATTAATTAATTATGTCACGACTGAAGTGAACTACTTCAGTTCCGTTCATTCCATGGATTAGAATTTTAAAATAAACACGAAAATTTCATGCCCTATTTTTTTTTAAACGACAAAATAAGCATCTTATCAGACTTTGACATTATATAATAACAGCGGCGTAGGATTGTGTACACAGAACTTCGGTATATAAAAGAAAAACATACAGTTAAAACTTCACAGAAATTTGCTCCAGTAAGCGGTATCGAGGCAGGGCCCTACTTATAGGCGTATTTAATGGGGGGCCAAGTCGGCCATGCCCACCTAAGAATTGTGTAGTAGCTATCCCAATATCTAAGTGAGGCGTGCGACATAATTTTGTATTAAGAATTCTGTAATTTTATATATATATATATATATTTGGATGTAGATCCGAGTACATTTTTACTGCGCGCTGGGCTCATAACCTATTGTAAATTTAATCAGCAGATGTATAGTCAAATATAATAGGTACATAGTCATATCTGAAAGTATATATACGTCTTTTTTAAGAGGCCAGGTCCACCCTGGAAAGAAATCTTGAATATAGCAACGACGCAAAAAAATGCCTGAGTAAGGCTCAGGCATTTTGTTGCGTCGGACAAATATAATGTTTACCAATAATATTGATTTGAAAAATGTTGGGTGAAATTGAAACCTTTAGCATGATTTTCAAGGAGTGTTCTGCCTGTGAATGTAAACATTTTCTTCAAAGAGTTATGGGCCCAAAAATGTTAATAGTATGTACATGGTACTGCTCATGTCTATAGGCGACGGGTATCACTTTCCATCAGGTGGGCCGTCTGTTTGCCATTCTAAGTTGAATAAAGAAAAAAAATCTACCATACTAACTTAATAATTAAACGCGCTGTTTTATTAGATAGATAGATACTTTTAATTGTTTCCTCCAAAAGATGACGATAGTAAACTTATTATAAATATAAACAATTAAAAGAAATAATCACAATGAGAAAACAATGGGCGACCATATCGCTTATTATAGAGTTTTGTGTCATTCTTTGATGTGTTTCTTTAAAAAAAAATGGTCAACTATACTAGTAGAAGACTGCATTAAAATATTTTTATTTAAAACGATGCATACCTTCTATATGAGGAAGGACTCAAACTATTAACACTCTCTATATGGGAAAGGAATTGTTAGTAATGGAGATGTAACACATCCATTTTTAGAAATATATCTTATCGGGTTAATTCTTGTAGAAGTCATCACGATGTGATTTCTGACCAGCTTTCATCCTCACTTATCATTCTTTACTAGTGCCCCACCAACGTATACCAATAGCGCATGTGCATTTTTTTTATACAACTTGAATGGCAAACAAGCTGACGGTCCACCTGATGGAAAGTGGTAACCGTCGCCTATAGACATGAGCAGTACCATGGACATAACAGAGTATACTGTTTCGCCTGTGATACCTCCCATGCGTTACCATTCCTGAGGACTCAGGTGTTCATCCTCTGTACCCTGTAAATTCACGCCATATCCTACCCTTCAAACCGAAACACACCCATGCAAACAACTGCTTTACGGTTGAAACACGAATGGGACAGATATACCCAAGCAAATGACTTTTTTTATACAAAAAGTAAAAAGTCTCCCTCTGGTTTGTTTATTTACATTTTAATGTACCATTTATGAAAATAATATAGTAAATTTTAATGAGGCGTAATACAAAAGGCTGCTTTATCGCTAAGTAATCTTTTCCAGACAACCTTTGGGTTGAGGACATTGAGGAAAAAGAGAAAGGGTAGGTGATCTCGGTCTTGGTAGGTCGGGTTCTCGCTCGTTAAAAAAACTATACAAGCTAAATAAGAACAATGACGATTTACGACTGACAATTGTTTAGCCGTCGGAAAAATTTTAATGCCCCTGCCCATAAAATTTCCATCTGCTTGATGGAAATTTTATTATCGAACATGCAAAAAAAAGTAGCTTCTTTAACCGAAAATATTATTAAACTACCTTATTTTAATGCATAAAGTGATGCTCAAATTCATTCGTCTGGCCAAATAAAGTTAAGCCGGCGTCTCCCCTTGCGTATCAAATCAAGCCCCCCTTTTGGGGGGTGGCGCGGTAGGGTGCGGTTTCGTTTGGGCGGATGGGGTGGATAAAGGATGTGCCAAACCGGCTCCGGTGGTTTACTTTACTAATATTGGGCTATTGGCTAAGTTCTATTGTTTGTGTTTTATTTACGTATGTTTGTGAAGCGATTTCAAAAGGTGGACGTCATCGTTTCCACTCTATTATTTTGTGCGTGTTTGCCAATTTTGATAGTTTGTTTCTGTAATCCAAAAAGCTTAGTCCCGTGTTGGTCTTATACTAATTCTATGGTCAACATATCATCGTATTGTATTAACAAAATTTGTAACTTTGTAATTTTTTTTTTCATATACCTACATAAACCGATTGTGTACATAATTATGGAAATGAGATACATATATGTACATAGTTATATATATGTACATGGAGATATGTATGTATGTATATATATATATATATATATATATATATATATATATATATATATATATATATATATATATATATATATATATACATAGTCTGTTTCAATAGATTTTAATAAAAATGTAAAGAAACGAATAAAAAAATCTATTAATTAATTAAATATTCCTATTTCTTGTTTTCGCAGTTTGGATGCTGAATGGTTTTTTAATCCTTTGAGTGCCGACGAGCGCCATCGCGCTCGTGCGCATTGCAACTAAAAGTGCCACGAGCGTCATAGCGCTCATGAAATCAGTCGCTGTTTAGCTTGCTGTAAAAAAAAATATATTAAAATTGGATAATTTTTGGAGGAGATACAGTTTTTTTAGAGACAAGGGTAAATGACATCAACACGACAAAGATTTCTTTGGCACTTTTAAGTAGATATGAGTAAAAATCAATGGCACTAAAAGGGTTAATGTTTTTTTTTTATATAACTTAGAATGGCAAACAAGCTGACGGTCCACCTGATGGAAAGTGGTAACCGTCACCTAAAGACATGAGCAGTACCGTAGACATAACAGAGTTTCGTCCATGATACCCCCATGCGTTGCCATTCCTGAGGACTAAGGTATTGTGCCTCTGTACAATACACTGCGGTATATCACCCTTCAAATAGAAACACAACTGCTTCAAGGCAAAAATACGAATGAGATACCCAAGCAAACGACTTTTGTACAAAATTTCTCTCGGCTGAAAATGGAATGGTAACTCCACTTGCGCTATTGGTATACGCTGATGGGGTAACTGCATTTAGTCATGCATCATCCACAACTGCTAGAGACAGTCCAACTATAAGACAAGATTGAGTACCGAATGCTTATGTTAGCGCGCGCCGTCATCTGGTTACGTTTAATGTCCCGCCAGTAAGAACTAACGTACTTCAGCGCGCTCCCTTAACTCACGCAGTACGGTTATCAAATAATATTATAAACATCATTGATATATTTAGTAGCAGCCTGCCAGAGATATTAGAAGCGGCTCAGAGATATCTAGAGTCGGGTTAAATACATTTATTATAACGTTGTATGTTAGCACACTAGGTTTATAACATTGAATTGGATTTTGCTGTCATAATGTTATAATTATTTTTAATGAATAAATAAAGAAATAAATAAATTATATTACAATTATAAAGTCCAAGCGTTTTACAAATTACAGTATTCTTTATGTCAAATTATCATATAAAATTATGGTTTATATTTAAAATAATGTTTCATACATTACATCTTTTAATAGATACATTGTTTTGTCATTTAAATATTCAATAACTGCATAGTAGCATTTTTCTAAGAGAAAGTGAAATAAGTTTGATTTAAATCTCTCTATCTGAAGATCCTTTATTTCCGGCGGTAAGTTATTTTTTTTTAATGGATGATAATGGAATGGTGACCTCGCCCGCGCTATCGGTATACGCTGACGGGGCACCAGTGAGGGATGACAGGTGACGATGAAAGCAGGTCAGTTAGCCAATCGTGACGAATTCAACAAGAATTGTTCACGATAGTTTCCAGGGGGAACCATGTGGAGGTCGACCTAATAGGGCATATTGCTAGCAATAGGGCTGTTGGGCTCCGTTGCTAACGATCCCTTTTCCCCTCGGAGGTAACCTATTGTAGACCCGTATTGCCATTGGATAACAGCTGTCACTGTATAAAGTTGTCGACATTGCGGGCAGCACCAGTTTATCTGGGAATCTTCTACGATAGTTATCAATTACATTACAGTTTCTCACTACATAGTATAAAACAAAGTCGCGGTCGCTGTCTGTCCGTCCCTATGTATGCTTAAATCTTTAAAGCTACGTAACGGATTTTGAAGCGGTTTTTTTAATAGATAGAGTGATTCAAGAGGAAGGTTTATATGTATAACACATGCAGAGAATAATAACATTGTAGAGAAACACTGATTAATTTAGAGGTTTCTAATGTGATATCGTAAATAAACCTCTTACCAGAGGGAGACTTTGTACAAAAGTCGATTGCTTGGGTACCTCTGTCCCATTCGTGTTTCAACCGTTAAGCAGTAGTGTTTGCATGGCTGTGTTTCGATTTGAAGGGTGGAATATGGCGTGAATTTACTGGGTACAGAGGAATAACACCTGAGTCCTCAGGAATGGCAACGCATGGGGGTATCATGGGCGAAACAGTATACTCTGTTATGTCCATGGTACTGCTCATGTCTATAGGCGACGGTTACCACTTTCCATCAGGTGGGCCGTCAGCTTGTTTGCCATTCTATGTTGTATAAAAAAAAAACATATTTATTTGCGCTTACATTGTAAACGCTGGCTGAACCCCACAAGATAAATCAAAATATTGGACTACAACAATAATAATCTATCTTCTCGGAATAACATAGGCTATTTTATGTTTTTTTTTTGTAAAGAACCCGTGCGAAGCCGGGACGGGTTTGCTAGTTTCAAATAAATATGGGCGCTGGCTTCAAATCGCCGATCCCGGCTATACTCACAGGAATTAAATAAATTCAATAGCTGTTTCCATTCCACGCAGATAAATTAATTAAGATGCCTTAATTGGATCTACTTTGAGTGCCGAATTCCATCGTAATCGAAAATCGCTCACTATAATTCCGAAGTGAATTAAACGGTTCTTAATTCTTTAAATGAGTCTTTATATTACATATGGAGGCGATGTCGAGAACAATGTAGACAATTGATGTAATATTGTTTAGTTTTATCCCTTAAAAGCCTGATTTTTTAAATCAAATTAAAAAATATATAAGTGTACCCTTTACTGTGTTTACTAATGGGGAAAAATAGTAAAAAAATCAAAACGATATTTTTATATATTTATTAAAAAAAAAAATTGGTAACATGTAAACAGCCAAATATTAAAATAAAATCTATTTGTAGGCGCCCAATGCGATTTATAATCCCGGTATCAAATTTGAAACTTCAGGTATTTAAGGGTTATAGGTAAATAGCTTTTGTCCTCCGCGGCTTTGTCCACGTGTCCGGGATACGTTTATTGACCGTGATAAAAAAACAAGATGATGGCTGCGTTTCAAATAAGACGTCAATTTTAAGTCATTTTAGGGTCGGTGACTGAAAATCGACGTCAATATGACGAGTAATTGCTACCTGGGGAGCAGTAGACACAAAAAAAAACTGTTGATTTATGTTTTTTTTTTTCTTAATTATAATTAGTATTTCTGTGTATAGTTTTTAGAAAACTTGGATATTATTTCATTGGGTTCCATTGAAACATACTATATTTAGTATGCCAGTATCATCCAAGGACAATTTGCTAAAATATCAGCAAACAACTTCCAGTCAGGCGTGTTTAGTCAAGCACGTATGTACTAGCTCTTTATGGATTAGATGTTGCTCTGTACACGGATCCTGTTCCGAATCTATCCTATCTACGCTATAGACGGGGCGGGCGTGGCCGGAGGAGGGGCACTGACGTCACGGCAGCGGCGTGACGTCAGCCGAGCGTGACGCGCGCGCCCCGACCTAGATACGAAATGCGTGAGCTTTTGAATTTCGAAGAGCTTTGTTTTTATTTTCTATCGGCTATTGTTTCACAGGTGGCTCAGGACAACGGTCCTGAATGCCAAAATGACAGCCTTATGACAGTATTAGCTCGTTCCCCGAGGCTTTGCTTGCGTGCACTAGTATATTAACTATATAAGTAACATGTGTGGATTAATAAATATATCATAAATCAATTTTTTCTAATAATTTTGACTTAAATCTATGTATAATTTACCATTAGTTGCCACCTGGAGGGGGGGGGGGGGGGAGGTAAACATGTACGAAACAGTATACTTTATTACGTCAATGGTACTGCTCATGTCTATAGGCGACAGTTACCACTTTTCATCAGATGGGCTGTTAGCTTGTTTGCCATTGTAAGTTGCATAAAAAAAAACGCTTGGCAAGCGGATTGGCAACAAGAGTTTGGCCTTGGAGATGTTTTAAGAGGGACGCAGTGGCCCATCCCTTGATTATTAGTTATTATAAGTTAGTTCCCTTAGTCGCTTTCAACACCCACGAGAAAAGGTGTAGCCTATGCTGGGACCACAAAGCATTCTGTGTTACAGGGTTTATGATTAGTATTAGTGTATTAGTAACATTAGTAAATGGTATATTATTTATAACGTGCCAATAAAAAACTGTTAAAACATTAGTCAAGCAAAATGAATGCCGTGCCGACATATACCTAACCTGTTGGATTTTTTTGCTTTCTCGGATGGCAACGTGTACCTGCACAGAAGTAATAGAAGTTTAATAAAAAAAAAATAATAATAAAACAATAATCTTCCTGTAGTTAATCGTAAAGAAAGAAAGAAAGAAGGGAATGCTTTTTATTGAAGTAAATTTTAGTTTAATCATTTTTGAATAGTCATTTTTTATGATTCTACCGTCCATTTAGAATGTAAGTTGAATAAAATGGGCAAGAAACTCGGCTGTTATTTTTTTTTCAAAAACTTTAATTTTAAAGTAATTTGTAAAAGGGTATATCAAACCGAAACCCATATACAGTGTTAATTAAACTGAATAATTTGCTCCTAAAGAAGAATACTAGAAGGAGACTTTGTACAAAAGTCGTTTGCTTGAACACCTCTGTCCCATTCATGTTTCTACCGTGAAGCAGTTGTGTTTGCATGGCTGTGTTTCGATTTGAAGGGTGGGTTATGGCAGTGAATTTAAAGGGTACAGAGGAATAACACCTGAGTAACCTCAGGAATGGCAATAATTTGTGACAGAGTGTACAATGAATAACAAACACATATGAAAAGAAAAATATATAAAAAGTAAATAAAAAAAAAATTTTATGTGGTGTGGGGATGGGTGGGGGACACCACAGTACTAATAAATTATTAGGTGCGTCGCAATTCGTATTCAGCGCCTGTTACCAGGAGGTCGTGTTTATTGACCTTGGCATTATCAAAATGTGATATTGACAAGGTTTATCTTTGATATATATATATATATATATATATATATATATATATATATATATATATATATATATATATATATATATATATATATATATATATATATAATTCCTCGTATATAAAAGGACTAACTGTAACCCGCAGCTCTGCTCGCGTGACAGTACATAAGGGTGGATAATATAGAGCAATCTCTATACATTGGTCCAATAACGAATACGTTAAACGCTGTTACCTAAAAAGTAATATCGGATAACAAACTTCTAAGATATTCAAAAATAAATATCGGACCGATATCAATATATACCATAGGGAGACTTTGTACAAAAGTCGATTGCATGGGTACCTCTGTCCCATTCGTATTTCTACCGTGAAACAGTTGTGTTTGCATGGCTGTGTTTCGATTTGAAGGGTGGGATATGGCAGTGAATTTACAGGGTACAGAGGAATAACACCTGTGTCTTCAGGAATGACAACGCATGGGGGGTATCATGGGCGAAACAGTATACTCAGTTATGTCCATGATACTGCTCATGTCTATAGGCGACGATTACAACGTTCCATCAGGTGGGCCGTCAGCTTGTTTGTCATTCTAAGTTGCATAAAAAAATTAAAAAGAAACACCGATAAATTTCTGGTTTTCAATTGTATAGACATTTTATTTATTCATTTTTAACTATAACATTTAAGTCGATTGGTAGACATGTATGCATGTAGCTACCTACTAATAAACTGTCAGTTTATCTCATATTGGGTTTGCTGGAAGAAATCTCTTTTAGAGATAACCTCGCCCTACTATGTTTATTTTTTCTTTTTTTTTATAATTTAATTCCTTTTTGTGTAGAATAAAGAATAATTCAATAAGACTAAACCACGACAGGTTCCAGGGGATCGCGTGGCGGCCGACATGATAACTAATTTCCTGTTACTGATAATCCCACCCCCCAATTCATCCTCTTACGGAGTTAGAAGCCCCTCCTGCGAGTGTGCGAGTTTGTACAGTGTGTTGTTTTAGTAATTTTGTAAATTACTCCCTGAGGGGTTGAAACGGGGGGTGAACTCCCGGCCAGTCCTATCGTATCCCAAACACAATAAATGTTATACATATATATCTGTTTATATTATACTAGCTTTAACTCGTGTCTTTGTTCGAGTGACCGGTATATGAAAAAGGGGAAAGGGATTGTTTGTAGTACTCAAGAATGGCAACGCATGGGGGGTATCATGGGCGAAACAGTATACTCTGTTATGTCCATGGTACTGCTCATGTCTATAGGCGACGGCTGCCACTTTCCATCAGGTGGGCCGTCAGCTTGTTTGCCATTCTAAGTTGTATAAAAAAAAAGTAGGGAGCAGTAGCTCCATTGCTAGCAATATACTGCTAGCCTATCAGGTCGACTTCTACGCAGTTCCCCCTGGAAACCATCCTGATTAATTCTTGTTTAATTCGCCACGATGGGCTAACGGACCTGCTTCCATCCGCATCTGTCATTTCTCACTGGTGCCCTGCCAGCGCATACCGTTAGCGCAGGCGGGATTACCATTCCATTATCATCCATTAAAAAAAGAAGACCGGTGTATGAATGAATGAAAACTCTTTATCGTTCCCTTCAAAGAATGATACAGATTATAAAGATAAACAACATGTACACAAATCTCCCTCTTAAAACATCACCAGAAGCCAAATTGCGGTTGCTAACCCGCTTGCCAAGCGTAGCAACTACTGGCAAAACCCCTCTTATGCGGAAGGTTATATTCAGCAGTGGACAATTAACGGTTGATACAAAAATAACAACAATATAAACAAAATATGTTCACTAATTGGGATAAAAAGTAGCCTACATCTCTTCTCTGTACCATATAGTACATCATCATATCATATCATGGCGTGAATTTACAGGGTACAGAGGAATAACATCTGAGTCCTCAGGAATGGCAACACATGGGGAGTATCATGGACGAAACAGAATACCCTGTTATGTCCATGGTACTGCTCATGTCTATAGGCAACGGTTACTACTTTCCATCAGGTGGGCCGTCAGCTTGTTTGCCATTCTAAGTTGTATAAAAAAATATCATATCATGGGGAAAACAGTATACTCTGTTATGTCCATGGTACTGCTCATGTCTATAGGCGACGGTTACCACTTTCCATCAGGTGGGCCGTCAGCTTGTTTGCCATTCTAAGTTGTATAAATAAAAATATCATATCAAAAGGGAGGTTTTGCCATTAGTTGCCACGTTTAGCAGGTCGTTTGGTAACTACAGTTAGGTTGTTTTGATGTTTTAAGAGAAACGCTGCTGCTCACCCCTCGATCAATAAGTTCCCTTAGTCGCATCTTATGATACCTACTTAGACCATATAGACAACAGTGTCACTATAGAAATGCTTCGAGAGAAACGGATCAACTATTTCACACAATTTGCGTGATAAACAGTTATAAGTGATTCCCTTATAACTTCTATATTTATTTTGTCTTAAATTTTTGCATTTTCTTAATGCGTAAACACTAATTTTATTTATTAAATAATACGTCTAAATATATTTTATGCATATGTAGATAAAACAAACTGAGTCAGCTAATTTGACAATTGGCTGACAAAAAGTTGACCTGTTTTCGAGGCTCTCTATAATTTAAGGATACCTACTGGAAAGGAAGGGGTAGTCCATTCCATGTTGGGACCACGCGGCCAACGATCATATAGTACGTGTATACTAAATTCCATAATGATTGGTTAAGTCGTTGAGTCGTTAAGAGGTAACAAACAAACTGACTTTCATATTAATATTTAGAATAGTGGTCTCATCAAACGCATTTAATATTGACTAAAGCAAAATCTGTCTATATGTATAGTGGTTTTGTATTAGAGATTTTCGAGGAAAATTATAATATTCTCAGGAAGATAATATTTTGCGACAAATAGGGTCTGATTGAGGCAGCTCGACGTAATTTAACTCGGCCCTCGCTGGAGGTGATATCCTCCTATGCTCGGAGTTATTACTAAGTTTGCTCTCTGTACAATGAATCCCTAATTCAACAACAAAACGTAGCTTGTATTTATTTAACTCTAATTTCGATTATGCGAACATCAATTATCCGAATGTTCGATTATCCGGATTTATTCTTCACCGCTCTAATTACCGATTTAGAAATTATGAAAAACCTTTTACATAAATATTTTACATAATACAAAAAATATATATTAAAAATAAATTATTGTTTTATTTGACTTTGAAATCGATTATCCGGGTTTTCGTTTATACGGATTACTCCTGGTTTTATTTCGGATAATCGAGATTCTGCTGTATACTACGACTATTAGAAAGATCAATTACAATGCATTACCTACGATAAAGTACAGATCAAAATATAGACATAAAGATATTGTAGGCGGTCTTATCACTAGATCAATCTGTTGTATATATGGCATCCCTAAATGATTTAGTTGGGTGTTACCAATATAAGCGTAACTACGGTTGTCAACCCGCCTGTCAAATGTAGCAACTACTGGCAAAACTTCCCAATATGGGGAGGTTTATGTTCAGCAGTGGACAGTAATGGCTAATATCATAAACTATAAAATATGCAGAGCGAAAGTTTAAAAATAAAATTGGTATCAAGGACCCCACATTTACATGCCTATGTATGGTGAACATGTTTCATACCATATACTTATATATATATTTAATATTTTCTTAGATATTTCCATTTTTACAACCGACTTGTCACCTTTGAATAGACAATACAATAAAACTATTCGACCAATTTGAAAACATTCTTATGTTTTCGAATTCTAAATTCAAAAAGATGAAAATGCCATATTTTTTTTTAATAATCGCGGGAGGTTGACTAACGACTTGACTTAAAAGACAGCTCTTGTATTCTTCCTTAAGCTTTTTATAAGTAACGCCTTATATCTCATATTTCAAGTGAATAATAAATAAATAAATAAAAGTTAATATGCATTTATTATTTTAATATTATCTCGGAGGTTTCTGATAAAATTGCATTTATAATAAATATCCGTGTTTTTTTTTTTTTTGTAGTCGATCAATAAAATTATTTCTAGTTGACACTATTTATATAAAATATTGTTTCTCACAGTGTATCGCAGGCGCGTGCACGTGCGTTATTTTTAACACCAAGGTGTCACGCCGGCGGCACTAAATACGAGACTTGTAAGAAATAATCATATAAGTTGTTTTGTATACATAATTGTATTTTGTATACAAAACAAATTACGCACGGTTATCCGGCTGAATCCCTCAAGGTATAAATATTTATTTGTTTCATAATCAGTCTT